GAGGAGCAACTGAGACTGGTTTAAGAGGAGGTTCCTGGAGTGGTACATGTTCAAGGTGCTCAAAGTCAAGACCAGCATCCAACGTGCCATAAATGATCAAAGTACCATCACAGAGCAACATGTGGTCATACGAGTTTGATTTCTTCTGATCTTCTGCAAGAAGTTTACTGCTGTCTGGGAAGTTAGGAAGAGAAAGAGGGCAAAACACATGGACCAGTTAAAGTTGTGAGTATAGAGGGAGTCAAAATTGATGGAAGTGAATTATTGAAAACTCATCAAAAGGATGGACTGATGGAGACATCAAGATTTCTCTGGATCAAGTAAAGTTCACGGAACACCAATGCTTTACTCGGACACAAGGAGCGGACCACCCTCAGACTAAAACACCTGATGACCCCATCACTGAAGTGGTTTGTGACTTACACCCAGAGGTTCACAAACTGGTTAAGTTTTTAGATTCTCAATTATCTCAAGTTTTTTTTTGAGTTTTCTCATGGCTTCAATGAGATCTGACGAAATGCTTGAATGAACCGCTACATTCATCTTTATGTTTTCAGTCACACGTACGCACTAACCTTTTTCTCTTCACATTGAAATATTTCCACATCAATTTATTTATCAAACAATCAAGTTTTTAACAGCTTTATTGTTTAGTAAATTCACAGCAAAAAACTTTGTTTGTGTTTTATGTTTGTGGTTTTAACTCTGTTTTAGAGACACCAACACTAACTAGTTTAGCAGTAATTGTAAATATGTGAGCAAAGCTAATGTACTTTATTTCTGTTTATTCACATAGTTTCACCCGAGCTTTTCACGCAGAAAATGTATTGAATTGCAGACGCTCAGTTTCCTGGCTCATGAAGACCGAGTTTGTCTTGCTGTTAATCTACGTTAACATACCCACATATCCAACTTGTAGTGATAACAGTACAATAACAGTTACATACTGTTTACTGTAATTACTGACTGTGGGATACGGTCTTGGATACGGCTCCATTTACTGTCTATAGATGATAGATAGATACAGTGCCTTGCGAAAGTATTCGGCCCCCTTGAACCTTTCAACATTTCGCCACATTTCAGGCTTCAAACATAAAGATATAAAAATATTTTTTTTTTTGTCAAGAATCAACAACAAGTGGGACACAATCGTGAAGTGGAACGAAATTTATTGGATAATTTAAACTTTTTTAACAAATAAAAAACTGAAAAGTGGGGCGTGCAATGTTATTCGGCCCCCTTGCACTAATACTTTGTAGCGCCACCTTTTTCTGCAATTACGGCTGCAAGTCGCTTGGGGTATGTCTCTATCAGTTTTGCACATGGAGAGACTGGAATTCTTTCCCATTCTTCCTTGCAAAACAGCTCGAGCTCAGTGAGGTTGGATGGAGAGCGTTTGTGAACAGCAGTCTTCAGCTCTTTCCACAGATTCTCGATTGGATTCAAGTCTGGACTTTGACTTGGCCATTCTAACACCTGGATACGTCTATTTGTGAACCATTCCATTGTAGATTTGGCTTTATGTTTTGCATTGTGGCCAAAAAGTTCGATTTTGGTTTCATCTGACCAGAGCACCTTCTTCCACATGTTTGGTGTGTCTCCCAGGTGGCTTGTGGCAAACTTTAAACGAGACTTTTTATGGATATCTTTGAGAAATGGCTTTCTTCTTGCCACTCTTCCATAAAGGCCAGATTTGTGCAGTGCACGACTGATTGTTGTCCTATGGACAGACTCTCCCACCTCAGCTGTAGTTATCTGCAGCTCATCCAGAGTGATCATGGGCCTCTTGACTGCATCTCTGATCAGTCTCTTATTTGAGATGAAAGTTTGGAGGGACGGCCGGGTCTTGGTAGGTTTGCAGTGGTCTGATACTCCTTCCATTTCAATATAATTGCTTGCACAGTGCTTCTTGAGATGTTTAAAGCTTGGGAAATCTTTTTGTATCCAAATCCGGCTTTAAACTTCTCCACAACAGTATCTCGGACCTGCCTGGTGTGTTCCTTTGTCTTCATGGTTCTCTCTGCGCTTTAAACAGAACCCTGAGACTATCAAAGAGCAGGTGCATTTATACGGAGACTTGATTACACACAGGTGCATTCTATTTATCATCATCAGTCATTTAGGACAACATTGGATCATTCAAAGATCCTCACTCAACTTCTGGACTGAGTTTGCTGCACTGAAAGGAAAGGGGCCAAATAATATTGCACGCCCCACTTTTCAGTTTTTTATTTGTTAAAAAAGTTTAAATTAAACACTGTAGATAGATAGATAGATAGATGAGGTTAGGACTCATATCAATCCATTTATTAGCGTCAAACATTTTACTGACATGCACACAGTTACATGATGAATGCTCATGTTTTTGTAAGGATTCAGCTCAGGTCAACATGTCATTATGTCATGGCCATGGGTTCCAATGATAGATGTTTGTTTTTTCAACTCTTGAACAATGATCTGCCTTTCAACTTTAAATTGTGGCTTTTCTAGAGTTCTAATCCATGTCCTTGTTAACAGACTGAAATATTGTCCATACATTCTGAGGCCATGTGGTAAGTGTAGCTATAATTTCAACAGGCTACCATTTGTGTTTGATAATACAACTGTGAAGAGCACTTTTGTGGCTGCTGGTCCTGATACTGTCGAGGTAATTATGTCCATGATCCGTGTTCATCATGATGTCATTATTCACACTGAGGACTTTGAACTTTATCTTTTGTGATTCATTGTTTCCTTTGGTCATATATGGTCATACTCCAGTTTCTCATGGATACTTCATGGTTGAGTTTAGGTCCTGGTTTAGTCCCAATTCAGTAGTAGTAGTGATAGTAGTAGTAGTAGTTCATTTGCAGTAGCAGTTTTACAATGTTTTTCCACAGGTACATATAGTAATTTCAAGAAACAAAGCTCAAAAGGAGATATGCCTTCCCCTATTATCAATACTACATTTGAGCAACTGCAAACAGATTCATGACATTACTGATTGTTACCAGCAATTTATTTAATGGTGTGATCGTGAACGCATTTCAATTAAACAGTGTCATTCAAAAAGGAAAGTACATTTTAACTGTATTTTTGGTTTTCAGATTATCAGATTTACCATGAAGCCAATTTGCCCTCAACTTCACCGACAGTTGAAGGGGCTGTGTCTTTAATGTGCACAAAGAGGTCAAATAAAGTCAATACTATAACAATCCAACTTTCATTGCCAGAATCTTCTTGCCTTTGACACATGTAATACTTCTACATTATGCTAAAATCTGAGTTTTTGTACTCATTATGCTAAAGATAGAGATTTTATAATATCTTTTTGATGCTAGAGTTATAGATTTTATTTTATTTATTAAAGAGTATATTGTTCATTTTTCTTGTGCTGTGTGCGCCTCATTCCTACTGTTCTGTAACTGGTGATGCAACATTGACGTTTCCCCACTGTGGTAAACATAAAGGATCTCTTAAACTTAATCTCAAAGTAGCTTCAAACTGACTGGTTACTGATGCAGACCATCTGCTGGGGTTTAGCTAGGAATGGTATAAACTGTGTATTACATGACTACTTATTTGTGTAACTGGTTTCATTTAATAAGTGTGTAAAAAAATAAGTGTGAGGCTATTTTTTATTTGTGAATGTTGACGACTCTGCTCTCTGATTACATATAAACTACGGACGGCAGTAACTACAATTTACACTTTTACACTTGTACATGTGGACCTCTTATCTGGGAACACATAAAACATGTAGATGTAATTTAAAATCAAAATCTTTTCTACATACTGTCCCTTTGCACAATCAGAACAAAGACATCGTTGGAGTCATCACAAAGTTCTGAAAATCTAATTATCTAAATATCTAATAAATGTCCTACTCTTGAACCTGTGTTGTGTTTTTATCAATATTTCAGCAACAGATTAAAATACATAAATACTGTAAATATACTACTGTAAACAATGTAATGCAGCACAATTTTACACTTTGAAAACTCATACAAATCTAATATTTGGGGAATATCATAAAGAAGAAAGGAGGTTTTTCCTATGAGGGCTTGTGAAAAAAATGCGACATTTGAAATTGTATTGTAATTCATTGTTGTTAAAACTGGTTAAAAAAACAGATATAATACCTAGACAAAACAACACAAATCAGACAAGGATTAATTTATACTTGCGACGCAGGGAGATGAGAGCAGAAGCAATGCCTCTTTGGCTCTGAACCTCCCTTCTGCCACAGACTCATTTACTTAGACGAAAAAACCCACACCCACATTATGTCACATAATTCATTGTCACTTCAAAGATTCCATTTAGCCTAAAAACCATTAGTTTGTTGACATAGTTCAAACATTTTAGCCTAAAAAGGTTTCTAGTCTTATCATTTGCTGACAACCCAAAAACTTCACTTAGCCAATAACCTTCTCAACAACCCAAACTAGTGACATATTGACATTCACAACAACGCAAACATAATAGACTAAGCATATTATACATCTCTTACCGTGACAACACAACCAGTCACCTTTGATATAGTTTACTAAAAGAGTATGCTTTTATGTTTTATTCTTTAAACTTGATAATATAACTCAGAATTCTAATGTCATTCCCTCCTGTTTCCCCAAAATACAACTCAAAAAATTATCTCAAATGTATTATTTTAAATTTATTTACCAACATATTGACCCAAATATAATAATCCCAAAATGTAACAACCCAAAATGTTTATTTGAAATGTATTATCACACCTTTACTATCAGAAAAGTATTAACTAAATGTATCCTAATGTGTTCTTTATTTTTAATTATCAACACCAAACTCACAACCAAAAAAAAGTCCATGGATTGAAAAGTCTTTGACACACCTCCACACACAATGTCTTCTTGCAGGGAGCAAATGTCCAGAAATGCCAGTTCCTCTTCATCATGCACAGAACATTATTCTGCAGCTGTTCTCTGTCCCATGTCCTCTGTCTGCACACTTCAGGACTGGAGAGTAGAATTGGAGAGCAGATGTCCAGAACAGACAGTAGAACTCAGACCACGCCAGTTGCCAAATCTTTTTGCAGTGCAGATGACGTCAGTCAGTTCTTTGGAACTTGATTGTCCCACAATCACACCCAGTTGTTGATTTGAGTCAGACCTCTAGATGAGTGCTCCCTCACAGGGGGGGGGGGGGGCAATGTGGGAAGAGAGGGGATGTGGTGTGGTGGGGACGTTTATATTGTGCGTTACATTACGTCTTCCTGCTGCACCCGCTGTGACGTGTGACTTTTGTATTCTATACTCTCCATTGCTTGTGTTACCCCAAGTGAATTATTTTGTGGCCAAAACACACAAACAGTCACACGTTTCCCACTTCTTCACATTGACTCTGATTGCAAAGAACGCGATACATGCTCGAGCTGGTTAGCGCTACAGTAGCCGAGTGTAAACAGGAAGAGAAACTAAGTTAGTATTAGCGCCACCTAAAACTAACTTCATAAAAGTTAAACAATGAAAAATTTAATAAGTTTCTCAGATGATACTAGCTGTCTCTATATCAACTTTAGTAAGTTTTTGTAATGAACACATGTAAGATTAATAATAATTTAAGATTAGTTACAACCAGATTTCAAACAAACACATTGTCTATGACTGAGTATTTCTGCATCTCTGATGAAACCAGTAAACCTTAAACATGCTACAATAACTTCCCTTACTGTTATATATGAAAATAAAACCCTTCAAATAAACTTAAAAATTATATTATTATTCAAAAATGAAAACTAAAACTGCTTGGTTTCAGAGTGTTTTCCCACCATCTGCATGTTCTGTGTCGGCATCAGTCAGAAATGGCCTTCCAGGGGCCAGGCTCCTGGTCGCAGTGAGGTGAAGCATGTGCTTTGCTGCTTGCTTCTGTGGTGCTATGCTGGGAACGACCAACCCCACTGGGCACTGGGCACTCGGAAACAGAAGAAAATATTAGTGTTGACTCTTTTTTTAAGAAAAGATGAGAGATAAGAGAAGATAAGATACTCCTTTATTCATCTCACTGTGGAGAAATTTCAGTGTCATCGTTGCGCACGTTACAGCAGAGAAAGAAGGAAATAAGAGCACTCAGATTTATGAGTTCTTTGTATTGTTTTATCTTCATACATGAACTCCGAAAAATATTTTAGTGTTATTTCTAACCTGATGTTAACATTACTATAATCCATTTCTACTTCCTGTACCTTTGCCCTAAAATACACCTCCTGCACAATCCCTTTTCCACTTTCCCCTCTGATGACATTTTAAGCACAAATCATTGCTTTTCTCAGACAGACAGTGCACACATAAATCCTCTATTTTTAAGATTTTGCATGTCCAATTTCAATTACTATTTAGATATCTTTTTTCTCAGTCCCTTCACTCACACTAAACTAATACATTCATTCGTAAGAGGGCATAAAATTACTTATTTCTGATCCCCTAGCAGTTACTAGCACACTAACATTCATCTGTAAACGGAGAGATATCAACTTTAATGTAAGCTGTTTCAAACCATTTTCACATTCACCAGAAATTCGAAATGAAGCAATACAATCTAAAACTACATCTGCCAATAAATGGCCCCTAAACACCCAGTGCTTAGTAATAGGAAATGACAAGTGCTTTGAAAAATGTTGCCGTCAAGGTAAAAAAGAAACAAGAAAAAAGGATATAAAACAATTGATTCTCAGAGAAAGAGAAATTATAGGCCTAAAAGCATAACAGTGTTATGCAGTTTTGCCGTCAAATTCAATCCGGAAACTGATTGGGCCTCAAAATGGAGAGTCCCACTGTAGTCCTCTCTTTGTGACCCAGCTGTTGTTCCAAAACTCCAGGTTTTGAGGCACGTGGAAGTGTGTTGACATGGACGGTTTCAAAATAAATTTTTGACTTTAAATTGTCTTAACACTAAATATTGAGTGAAATCAGCAGATATTTTCAAATTTCCTGGTACTATTATTATTATTGTTTTATAAATTGAATGGGGGTAAACCTACAACATCTATCTATACACACTGACACTCACAACTAATTCAATTCAAATAACTTTATTTATCCGTGAGGAACTTCATTTGCAGACGGAGCACCAGTCTGGACCCATAATTGTTTGAAATTAAGATTTTAAAGCAACTCTTGGATTAATATTGTTGAATTGAATGACTCATTGCAATTTACAACAGTATTTTTGCCAATTTCAAACCCTAATTTAACAGGAAAATTGTGGCTTGGTTTGAAATCTGCACAACTGTTTTTATAAAAGGTGATATCTGTTGACTTGTGGAAGAGCTATATTATGTCTTTCTCTGCCTGAACCTCTGAGTGTCACTTCTCAATCTCAGCATTTGAATTCTTGCAAATAGCACAACAAATACCACGCTCTAGTCTCCATCATTTTCTTGTTTGTGTTAAACTTCTTATCTCCTTATTACCACAGATGTCGTGCCGAGTGCCACTGGGGACTTGACTTATTTTCCATTGATAGGACTGGGGACACTGTCTTGGAAACTAGACAGACCAAAAATAAAACTCATTGCCCAATTGATTTGCACACTACTGGAGAGGTGAGAGCTGGTGACCTTTGGGAGAGATTAGGTAAGGGATAGACACGAGTCCCCTAATGAACACGGCTGAAGAGAGGTGGACATAAAAGAGGAAAAAGTGCCCAACCAGGAGGAGGTAGGTGGAGCGAGCAAAAGCAAGCAGTTAACAAATATGTTTCAAGCCTGTAGTGTGCTGACGTGCGCACTGCCATTGATTACAAAAAAGGTGTAGGCGGCTTTACCTTTATTAAAGCAAACAAAGTGTCTCTTCAGTATCTTTTTTACCTCAATTACACCCTCAAGGCCCCTGATCCGCATCCGGCTCCAAACGATTTGAGTGCGCTATAAAAGGGGAGAGCAAGCACTACAGCCAGAACCCTCCTACAGAGAAACAGCGCGTTCACAGAAGAGCCGAGGGAGTGGGACCAAACACTAAGAGATCTGTGGAGACAAGACAGGAGAGAGCAAAAGGTAAACATGCATGGCTTTTATTTATGCGATCACTCTATTTAGTAAGTGGTGTAAGAATAATGACATGTATCTACAGTCTTTTCACAATCTGGAGTGCTTTTTTTGCCATAAATGCAAAGTACCATAGTTCATACCTGTGGCGTTACTTTATTATAGCCTTGATTCTTTTATGTTCGAGTCCATTTTTAAACTTGCGCAAATGTTTTCTCATTTTTTTGGCAAAATCCTATTTCAATTTTACAAGGAGAGGTTGCTTTTAGCGAGTCTTATTTTTAGTTCTAGGCAGGAAAAAAACAGCAACTTGGCAATCACAAGATCCCATTAATGAGAGGGTACATCAACAGTGCGGTAATTCAAAGGAATGGAGGTTTTTCAAACAATATAGTTTAAATTTGGGGGGAAAAAGTATAGGAATGTAAATGAATGTTTTCGAAGTGATTTCTTGATGCAATAGATTTACAGTATTATGATTTCTAGTCATTTGCAGCAGAGGGAAGAACACTTTGAAGATTGCATAACATGAATTATCATCTTTACAATTTAGTTTTGTGTCAAATGTAGGTGTTTTAATTTCATAATTTTTTTCATTAAACTGATTAGAATTCAAGCATGTTTTGCTTTTTTCTGTTACTGTTACAATCTAACTTGTAAAACATATCAAGTAAAACAATAATAAACATGATTATAGGAAAAAAATCCAAATCAAGTGTTTTATTTTTGTTATATGTAGTCTATTTTAAGAACGCGTTGTTTTTTTTGTTTTTTTAAATGCCCGCAGAAGTCTTTAGTGTCTCTTGCCGGTGTTTTATTGTTTAGAAGTGTGGAAAATATCCGGCGTTTTGCATAAGAGGCTCCCATTGGAGAGATGCGTTTTAATGGCACCGCATAGATTTGACAGATCACATTAACACAGTGAGTCATGCTGGAGCCGGGCTTACAAAAGATGATACCCCACTAAGGAGTCGTAGCTTAAGATGATGGAAAGGCTGAGAGAAAGCTGAAAGTTTTTATTCACTGCAGGATATTCAAACATTTTAGCTTCCTGTTTTGTGAGGTCCCTTTGCCCATTATACTATATAAAAAAGAATTTAGGCAACGACTCAGGTTTTTAAACATTCTGAATGTTGAGCAAGTTACATAGGCCCTTATAAATCCTTTATTAATAGTTTGAAGGTTTAAAATAAAAGGGTTATTTTACAATAATATAACATTAATAATATTAGGCAAGGCAAGGCAAGGCAAGTTTATTTATATAGCACAATTCATACACAAGGCAATTCAAAGTTCTGAACAAAACAAGAAAGCATTAAAATCATAAATTATCACAGAACATTAAAAAGAAAGATGAAAATATAAAATCCCTCAGTTGTATGCACAGTTAAACAGAACTGTCTTTAACCTGGTTTTAAACATTGTCAGAGAGGAGGCCTGTCTTACAGTAACATTTAAATGAATTACTACACACTTTGAGTTAGATGGACATTTGCAAATGGGAAAACATTCAAAAAGCAAATCCTTTTGCATTGATTGTGTTCAAGGGGTCTGTATTGAAAATGTTCCAAATACTGCTGTTTTCATGTCTTTTTCTCAAATGAATTAGGAATACTTTTTCCAAGCAAATGTGCTGTCAATTAAATTGGCATGTAATTAAGTAAATTTGACTGCAACCACAATCATTTTACAGTCAATTGTTAGTTTTGTACAGAGTTACTCCCTAACACGGCAGATCTGATAATAATGAATGTGTAAGAATATTCTGTTTTAACAATAAGAGCACTCACACAAAGGCCCTTCATTAAACTACAATAATGCGAATGTTGACTGATCGTTAACACAAATGCATTTTTACATGTGTAAGAACATTCACACTGGAGACTGCCATAATGTATATATTCTAGATGTTGATTGCCACTGTTATTGTCCTTTTCCACATCTCTTAAAGTTATTTCGGGAAATAAATTAATTTCAAAAACAACAGTACATACTTATACAATAACCAAGGCTTCACAATGGAAAGGTTTGTTGCTCTGAAAAATGCAGCTTGTGCCTTTCAGGGGTCATGGCCCTGGTTCATTATAAAAACATGACTTTTACTCAGCAAACTTTTGAAAGTAACAGAAATAAACTGCACGTGGTTATTCAGAACACAGATGCTTCTGCACAGCAAGTTTTGGTATAGATTTCAAAAGATAGAGTAGCATTTTTTTCTATTCAGCACATTTTCCAAAAAGACAAATAAACCTTTCCCAGAGTTTTGTTACACATTTCTTTCAAAAAGAGCTTTCCTTATGATAAAAAAAAGTCCAGATGTTGAAACATTTACATGAGAGACGTTTTAACTTTGGATAGTTGGATGTAATTGTTAAAATGAGTACAACCAGCGTGTGACCTGACAAAGATTCAAAGCAAAAAAAAGAAATCTTGTGTTTGGAGAATTGTTAACTCATCACAGTGATTCGTTAGGGCTTGTTGTTCTTAACACTTACATAAGGCCTGTGTTAAACCCCTGATGTGCGCCGCAGGACCCCGGGCTGAAGGCTGAGGATGTGGTCTTCATCCTGGTTCTTTGTGGCAGTTATGGCCCATGTGTGTCACTGCTCCAGAGTGTCCGAGTGCTGGCACAGCTCCATCTGCTCCAACCTCAGCAACAAGCAGCACGTCCTGGTGAGTGTGACGTCACGCGATGACCTCAGTCTGTCAGTCAGAACAAGCGATTTCCATGATGGCTTTGCTTAAGATAAGAAAGATAAGAGATTCTTTATTCGTCCCACAGTGGGGAAATGTCATTGTTGCAGCGCACATGCAGGACAGTAGTAAGAGCACACAGGGAGAAAACAGAATGAACAATATAAGCAGCTGCTTTGTTTCTCAGCTAGCTGGAAATGCTTCAATATTAATTTATCGATATATCTCTATCTACAGTATATACTGTACAGAGTGCAACATTTTATATATAATGGCAGGATAAGTAGATTATGTGACATTCAGTGGACATTCTGATTATATACTACTTTCAGAGCAAATCCAAATGCAGTAACTCTTAGAACATACAATATTCTGATGAAAATGCAGTAAAATATTATTTTGACATGAGGATGTGAGTTAGAAAAGCAGATGTGTACTACAGTTTGGTAATAGATTCTCATAATAATTTAAAAAGGTTCAAGATGCAGTCAATGATTTATCCAGAGTCAGACGCAATTTTGAAAATACTGTGGGGAAACGTCCCTAAACCCCAAAAAGTGGTCAAGTTATCATGTGTTTTCAAATAGGACTGGACAGGGACCAGATTCTTGTAGCCTCAAAAAACAAATCATAAATATCCCCCTGCTGCTTTTCATCAGTGTGCGCACCTGTTTGAGTAGTTATTTAGTCGGATTTTCTAAAACACCAACAATGATTGAACCGAAAACCCCCAAACTGCCAATTTCATGTTTGCCACCCACTCGCCCTGTTGTGGCAAAGAAGAGAAAAATCTAATAATTTGCGTTGTAAAAGAAGACTCAGGACACAGACAGGGCTATGTAGTGCAACGGTTGTCGAGTTTTGCTAAATATGTTACGAGAAGCTAGTTGTCAAGTATGACAGGCAAATCGCTCAGAGACTTGACAAAGCTGGGAAGCTTTGTCACAGACTGCGTTATTAAAGAAGTGGCATTCATGTGTGCTGGGAGTTGGGTTTGGTGTAGGGCAGGGGGGAGAGGGAATGGTTTGATTTGGTGCTACTCGGATGCTAAGCTAATGCTAATGCTAAGCCAACCTGAATCTTTTACTGCACCTTTAATCTGGTCTTGAGTCAAAAAAAAAATGCGGCTCTTTTGAAAGAGAAGGTAATACATCTAACTTGTCTTTAAAAAGAACCACAAAAAAGATCTACTACTACACTGGGTAACAACAAAATATTTTTTGAAAATAGTCCAGGGTTTTCCAGCTGAATTAGACTAATTTTGATGCTCTGAGTCCGAAAATGACCTTGGTTTTGGTCAATCACGTCAGGATTTTTTGCTACAGAAATATTTTTAAAATCAATTTTGCGTGAAAAACAAATTTCTGCAGATCATCAGCTGAGAAACCCTTGACGTTTTTTCCGTTTTCCTCAAGAAATAAAAGTCAACGTATCCAAAGTCATTCAGTTTTTATTCACTCCATCAAATTTGATAAGCAGAATTCATAATAACGTAGACGTACATAATCCGTAACACTGTGGCTGTATCTCAAAAAGTTGACCTGATAGAGCAAAATGCATGTGATATTCGGACTCAGAACACCAAAATGAGTCTAAATCAGTTGAGAAACCCCTGACCATTTTTTGGCTGTCAACTTGTGTTATGATTCTCATAATAGACTCATAATTAACATATTCAATGGCTCTTCAGACACTTTTTATGTATGATGCCCCGCTTTTAATACCTTACATCTTTTCGACAAATTGGGTCAATGATTACGATAGTCTTGTAAAACACAACCTTCAGGCCCGCCACATTTTCAGGCTGCAAAGGTGGAACAATATGTTACACCCTAAAACAGGTTTGTAGATAATAAAATACCTCATACGGCACTAGTTTTCACAAGTTTTTTTCTGGTCAATACCAAAGCCTCACATCAGCTCTCAGCCCATATTCAATACACTGACTTGAAAAAGTATTTATACCACTTGAAAATTCTATATATTACTATGTTACGACCACAAATATTGGATTTTTTTGTGAAGTAAATACATGACTATAAATGTTTTACAATTAAAAAATCTGAAAAGTATGACAGGCCATACCTACTGTATTCGAGTTCACCATATAGGATGGAGATTTTGAGAACAGTAGTTATTAAATATTGTCTTGAATGGATGGAGGTCTGGACTTTGACTGGGCAATTTTAACACATGTACAGTATATGTGTTAAAAGCCATAAAGCCAAATTACCTTTTAAACAGTGATAGAAGGTAAACCTCAGGGTAAACCAGCCTCAACAGGTGTTCTTCCAAAGTTGTCCTGTATGTTGCTCCATACACCTGAAGAAAAGCAGTCCCACAGCATGATGTGGCTACCATCAGGTTTGAAGTTGAGGAAAGTGAGAAGATATAGTGAGTGTTGAGCAGTATTAGTTATGCACAATTGGTCAAAACGTAAAAACGTTTCCATTTTTTTTGTTATAATATAATAATAGCATATTAAGGATTGTCTGCCCCTTTGTGCTGTGGTTTTCACATTTGTATAATGCCAAAACAACATCTTTAAAGTTGTAAGTAACTGTGGTCGTAACAAAACGTGGAATGTGGCTGTGAATGTGTTTTGCATTGAGAAGGCTCTTCGTGTAGAAATTAACATCCAGCTATTTTCTTTCACCTTATCTAGCTAACCAATGCACCAGCGTACTGTGGCGCAGTGGTTAGCACTTGTGGAAGTAGCATGTTTCTTCCCACGAGTGACTTCACACTTTAGTGTCGCGATTTCAGAGACTCCAACAAGCTTTCACATGTATTACATGTGAAAGGTTTCATATATGACTAGTCCGGGGAAATCCCAGAGACAGGCCTGCTGAGAGACATACCCTCCAGCATGTCCTGGGTCTTTCCCGGGGGCCTCCTCCAGGTGGTACACCTCCCCAGGGAGTCCACTCTGAGCTCTTCTTGTGTAATTGCGCTTCTCACAATATCTCTAAGGGATGAACAAAATGTAACAAAAAAGTAATGAACCAACTTAAATTAAAACAATTATAAGACAAATTGAATGGTGAAAGCTCACCCTTGACAAGCATAATATGAAATATGTAGCCTAGAGTTTATTGGAGTTTTTACTCTTGTTTCACTGCAATCTGGTGTAACGTTTGCTTTTGTCCCTGCAGGCGTGCATTCAGCTGTGTGTATCGGAGATGCAGAATGAGAGTCCACACAGCATGCCCGTGCAGGACACAGACCCCGAGCAGAATGAGCTGACCTCTGACATCAGGCCAGACAGCCACGACAGGCGCTCCTACTCCATGGAGCACTTCCGCTGGGGGAAGCCGCCCGGCCGTAAGCGCAGGCCTGTCAAAGTGTTTAGCTCGTTTGCAGAAGTAGGAGGCTCCAGTGAAGGTGCTGGACCAATACACCTCCAGAGGAGACAGCTCATGGCCTACGACAAGCGCAACAAGGACATGCAGCGGAAATTACGCTCCAAAGCCTCGTCTCACAACCAGGCGCAGGAGAGGAAGGACGGCACGTACCGCATGAGCCACTTCAGGTGGGGCAGTCCACCTGCCAACAAACGGAACGGAAACTCTCTGCAGCCGTGGCAGGAGACGCCACAGAACCCGCTGTCCAAGCTTCTCAGGAACTTAATGGGAAAAAATGTGAAGATGGCGGGATAAGTGCAGCCCAGTTTTATTGCATGTTAGTCCAAAACATGAAAATGTCACTTTCGTTACTTTATTGTCTTCTGGGCCAAAGTCTAAACTGCTCATCTCAAACTTTAAAGGTAGGAGGACATTCATGTTCAATAAAAAGGCAATTACTCACTCACCAGCTTGACCTTGACTTGAAAGGCAGCCTACATTTTTTCTAGTGAATGTCTGAAGGTTATAAAAAAAGAATAGCAGGCTGTTAAGTTTTCCTTAGTGCATACAACATAAACATAGTTTATTATTTAGAGTGTTATTTTGAAATCAACGCATTAAAATAAACGTATTACTATATTTATTCATTTTTTTCCCTTTTGTTGTTATTGTCAAATGGTCAGGGATTCATGTTACATAGGCTTTGTTTGTTTGTCGTATGTTTTGGTCAGACCATTGAAAACCAACCTGATTCAGGCTCGTCCAGAGTCAGATCTTGGTTCGGACCTGGTTAAGACCTCACCAGCAGCTCATATTTACTGATCTAGTTCCATAGAATAATAAAAATAAAGATAATGTATAATAATATAGTGCTACATATGACATTCAAAGACACTTCATGAAGCATTATTCATTCATTCATTCAGTCCAAAGCTACTAATCTGTGTCATTGGCCACCACCAATCATTAACCCACACATCAGATTCATTTTCTCACTCTGGTTTGAATCGAACTGAAGAACAAGTGAAGTGAATTACAACGTTACCGTCTCAAAAGAAGTGAACTGACTTGTGAATAGCGGGCCAGTACTAGTATTTGTTTGGTGACTTCATCAACACAAATATATCTTTGTACCCACTCTGACAGACTCTTCAATATCACTCCTCTGTTCAAGTGGATGTCAGCTGTCCATGTGAACGGAGAGGGGTTCACAGACCAGAGCACAACTGTAGGGTGTATGGGCGATACACAAGACCCGCAAAAACAACAACAACAACGTTCTGAGTCACGGCATGGGGAGGACTACGCTTACACCAAGGATTTATTAAACCCTTTGTCGTGGCCCATTGGATTAACACAGCACCCACCTCGTAACTTGTGCTTCCTGTCCTGGTTCAGACCTGGTCCGGTAAACTGGTTGGTTGCATGGCTCATACTTTCACTCTGTGTATCACGAGTTCAAGTTAGTAATGGTTGCATTGCCACTGTGGCGAATGATAATGCTATGGTGAAGCTGACACAACACACTTGACAATAGGACCAAACAAAGGTAAGGACAGACATTTAGGTGACCATAGACGGAAAAAGTCTATAGGAGGATCTTCGAGTGACAATGTTGTTTATAGTTTTTCCGTGACGGTCTCATATATACAGTGCTATTCGCCCACTAAGTCTTTTAATGCATGGATACTTGTCGCATCCATGCTTCAGTATGGGCCGCTCTGTCTTTTTGCCACCCAACGAGGAGCACATGCGCACGCGGATGTAAACAAAGATCCTCCTATAGAACCAACTGGGACAGAGAGACGGACAGCTATGAGCGAGTAGCACTGCACTCCATAGCGACTTTCATGCCAGAGAAACCTTGGTAGCTAAAAAACAGAGCCACCTATTGTTTGAATTGACAATTTAAAGGGCTCATTGTCCATCTTCAAGCGTCCTTGTAAATGGCATTGTAAACCACAGGGGACGCTTGTAACATCCAAACGCTAGATGTGCTGTCTCAATACTGTGTGCCAATAATACTTAGAGATCCATAGTACTAGACTGCAGAGATTCAATAAGGCTGATAAAAATAGCTGAAGTTCAAAATTAAAGATTCAATGTATTATCATCATCACAGAGCGCAACGTCATTTGATTTAGCATCAATCACACTGCATAGTTTGATAAAGTTATCTACGAGTGTGGTTATTATTCATTCATAACAGCAACCCAGTCACAGCCTCAGGGCAATTTATACAACATGGTGTCAGATAAGAGGCAATGGCACTCATCAAAAAGATCCAAGATGGCGACATAGGAATTCTCGCACCACGAATGGACAGGGATTCAAGTTCAACCATAGACTATATCTTGTACCCAATGCAATGTTTCTGTGTATGACCGTATCTTGTGGTCACCTAAACGTCCTTTGGTCCTGTCATCTCAGGTGTAGCTTCACTGTAGCATTATCGTTGGCCACGGTGCAACAGCACGATGTCCCCGCTGATTCCCACATGAGCTAAAAAACAGGTCATAGACAGTAGCTACATAACTAGAGAAAAGTGTATTTTTCAGACTGAGCACAGCTTTCTTGGCTAATTGGCGTCTGTGCTAAACTAGGTTAGCTAGTTGGTAGGTGATTTTTTTTTTTTTCATAGATCCATGGTTTTATTCAGCAAAAACACTTGTGGTAACGCTAGGTGCTAATGCTAATACGATAATTATTGTTACGCCATTTTGAAGTGGTAATTTCAGGAAAAAAAGGACAGGTGGAAAGTTTTGACCATAGTCCATGGATCTGCCTTAGACTGTAATTATTATTTACTTTACCTTTTTTTTTTTTTTTTTTTTTTTAAATAATGACTTTTATTTGGATATTTATTTTTGTAGTTCAAACAAAATTATTAGCCTGCAGGGTACAGGAATGTCTGGTTTAATTCAATACCTGGACCAAAGAGTCTGCTGATGTTGCCTTTTGGGTTAATTCAGAGTAAAATTAATGATGCGTTGTTTTTTCTGAGAAATTATGCATAACTAAGCACAACATATGAAAAAATAATATATTGTTTTGAAAAGGATAGAAATAGATCAAGCTGTTCTTCCCAATCAAACCTTCATTGCAAGAACCAATCATGGATGTTTTGAAGGTCGCTCCTTATCTCTACTCACCCGACACTGCACTATCGGCCATCATGTCGGCAGTGCTCATGCGTATTTCATTTATGATGCATATTGGAGTGGTAGAGCTGGAGCACCACAAAAAGGCCAGGGCTGGCACGGGAATCGAACCAGATTTCTGCCGTGAGGCGTGAATGCTTCCCACTGAACCACAGCGCCAGTTTCAGTATAGGGCTAAAAATAACGTGGCCAAAAGGATAGAACATTCACAGGCATAAGCTGCAGTTTTAGAATCCAAGTTCTTAAAACAAATCTTGAGTAGTCTGTTGTATACCTGGCATGAATGAAAAAAAACATACCTTACACTCAAGCATCAATGTGCCATTTATTGTACAACAGGGAAGCAGAGCGAGAGCATGCAGCCGCGAGTATGACACTCATGAGGCGTTTTCTCCTTATCAAAGCTGCCTTTGTTCAGAGGTTGGCCAGTTTTAAGTGCAAACTTCACAGAAGTATGCCCCATACACAGACTCAAGTTTGTAGTTTGCGCTTGTGATGACAACCTCTCACGTTATCGTTACATTACACTCTGCAATGACAACAGTTGGAAAGACAGATTTATTGACATGTTTGAGACAATGTTAGACAATTCTCTTTGATCACTCATTGTGGATCACATGAAAAACAAATGTATAGATTTTGACACCTTTGGACAAACCCTCCTCAACCAGAAACACGTTCACTGACAGGACATCAAACATGACACATACTCACAAAAACTGTACTGAAACAAAAGATCTAAAGGACGTGACATCAGGAACAGACCAGATAACAAGTCACAGGCAATGTAGTATTTCACAGCAGTCTTTGATCATGACCAGCAGTTAAACAGAAGACTTTAGACAGTGTCAGTTCATAGACAGGCCGCCAAATTATTGCCATCATACATAGTATTCAAACCTGCGAGTGCTTGTGGCACACCAGTACATGGCTTTGGACCTGGTTTTGCAGAGCAGTGCACAGTCTGAAGCTGCAGCAGCAGTTTGGCATAAGAAGAGTGCAAAGTTAATTCAGTGTGTGATAAGAGCAGCACCACACGTCTAAATAAAAGTGCAGAGACCTAAACAGAACGGAAACTGCTTTTTGGGAGAAAATATAACAGAAAATGAGTGATGGCATGTCTACTCTGTGCTTTTCAAACAACTAATCTACTATTTTTGTCTATTTGATCGATTCATTGGTTGCTGGTTTAATTCAATAAATTCAAATCAAAAATACTTAGTGCAGTGCCAGTCTGAAATTACAACAGCTCTGGATATCATATATTTCTTTGTATATACACATAAAAATAGAAAAAATATAAGTAACTTTCTACCATAACATGTAACTATGAAGGCAGATAATTATATTAATAAAAGCACTTTTGAATGAGTCTAAAAGGCAAATAATAACTAAGGTGTTAAAACAGGTGCTTCAGACTGAAATGAATGCACGGTAAAAATCAAGAAACTTAAAAAGTAAAAAAGTACAAATACTGTAACATAAAAAGATTTAACTTAATATGGCATCGTTTGGATACAAGAAAAACACATGATCAGCGCATACAATACTTTCTGCCAACACTGCATGTCGTCTTCAGTCGTATTCAGAAATATAATAAACGAGTAGATCACAATTTCAATTTTTTGAGTTCAATATTTAGTGCATGTATTTAGTTCAATTGGGATAAGTGGGTTAAAAACAGACGTCTGCGATTCATATCATCACAACCAAAACTAATAAAATGCTTCACAAATGTGATCATGGAGCACCAATTAAAATTAAATAGATGAACTACAAAGTTAACCAAGAAATCTTGTAACAATGTCTGCTGCTTGTCTGGTCCGGTTGACACAATTGCTTTCCTTGGCCTCATTTCCACGTAGGTCAAATACTCTGAATGTTGTTCCTAGTACACACAGAGGTCGGGGAACTTCATTTCGTATATGGGAATGGAGCGACTTTGTGTTTGGCCAAAACCAGATGAAATGGTTCCAGATGGGCTTGGAGGTGGTCTAGGCAGAAGAGCATAATACAGTCACTTATCTTCTAAGTCATAATCACTCATTGAAAACCAAACATTTATCCCGTTTCTGTGGAGTGGAAACATCTGAGGGAACAGTGCGTACCTGATTGTAATTTCAAAGATTTGAGTGAGTTTGCTCTGCAGCATTGAGGCCTAAAAACAGGACAAATTCAAATAATACAGTCATATGCAATAAAATATGAACATGAACGGACTTTAAACATACCCTAGCGCCACAGTGGGCAGCTATTTCTTCAAAAGGAGCTTTCTGAAACTTCTCCACAACAAGTCTCCGTCGCTCTCGCTCCTGCTCTTCCATCCCAACACTGTCCACTAGGAAGAGCCAAACAAGCAGTTTATGTTATCGTTTATTACTCAGATCATTTGTAAATAACAAAACAAAAAGATAAAAGCACAAACAATTTCAAAAACATGGATTTGATTATTTTACAGACCGTAAGGCTATCATGGATCTATAATAATAACTGGATAGGGTATTACTAGCTTATAGCTGTCCCACCCACAGGCACAGGGGGCGCCTGTGGTACAGCAGACTAAATTTATGTGGGATACCCTGAAAAAAGTCCCATAGAACTCAATGTAAACTAAACCAGCTCGACCTCAACTGACAAAGAACCTACAGCTTTCGTAAAGATCAGATTTTGTGGGGATTTTAGTGTCCCTTGTCATCCTGAACTTTTTTTCTTCTTAAATCCTTCCAGCTCTGGCTCCGCTCTACCTAATTGGTCAGAGCGCGGCCGAGTCCCTCTGTACACGTGCATGAGCCACACACGCGCATTTGGCGCAACGCATCATGGGAGCTCGTCCACTGCGCTACTGAGTACAAGCCATTCATTTGAATAGGGCGCCATCTTAGATCACCGGGGCTTAAAGGCTATAGACTGCAGTTTCACACTTTTTTGCCTGCCAAACACACTGCCTAAAATACATTAGGCATCCAATAGTACTAGGTTATCCCTTCAGATACTGAGTCCAGACCTAAATCGGTGGAGTCTGGTCTGCTCCTGCTTGGTTGGAATTCAAACCTGCCGCTAGACCGGCTGGAAACAGTTTTACGCCCCTGGTATAAACACATAGTTTTCATAATCTTATGTTTTGTCATTTGTGTCCCAATCTATACATTAAAAGAAAAAAAGGTCTGATAAGCTGTTGGCAGAGGGGGGCGCCCTCGGAGCTGCAGCCCACCTCTTGCTTAACCTATTCTTCATTATACATTTCAGGGGATACTTTGCGTGTCCTGATCTGTGCAATATAATAATATTTTGTGACCTGGTCCCACTCAACCACAGGTCACCTCTCGCTCATCGTGGTATTGGGTTTGTGTTTTTTTAATTTTATGTTTGAGTGGGAGTGTGGAGTGTGAACAATGACAAGGATGGTTCCATGGAAAAGCAGATAGAAGGCAGCAACAGAATTGACCATTTAAATTCTCAATCTCATTCTCAAGTTGTTTTTTGACCATATATTTTAATTGTTTAGCAGACGCACATTGCATTCCTGCTGTTAACAATCAGTGTTAGTTCCATACCATAGTCCACATCACGACTCAAGCTCTAAAAAGTTTGGATTGGTCTTATTAGTAAAACGTAAACCAGTCCTGTGTGCTGTACATACCAATGGCATTCTTCAGGGTCTCAAAGGTGATTTCTTCCGCTGGTGTTCTCTGGATAAAACACATTGTATAACAGTTTGAAATGTTGTTTGAACAGACAGTTTCAGGCCAGTTTCTTGAAGTACCTCTTCTTTCTCCGGACTGTTTCGAGACTCCACTTCCACCTGCAGTGAGATAGTTTCTCCAATACTCTTCCTCTTTGACAGGCGGTCCTCATCTGTGGAAACACTGTTTAGTTTCACCTCGGAAGATATGCAGACGGAAGAAACATTCACTAGCTCCTCAATTTATCGCTTTCACACTGAGTTAATGAAGATCGAATTAAAGCAAAGGAACATCTGCCAAAATAAATGTCACTTTCTAAGAATTTTGTCATATGTTGTACAACTAATTATTTGATTCTGAATCACAATGCGTGCAAGATGTGATCTTCCAAATGATATTTTAAAAAGTGGAATGTTAAGCTCAGCCTACAGACCTATGTTAAGGCATGTAAGACAATGTTTTTTATAATCTTGCAGTAAAAAGTTGGTCAAAAGAGATTGAATTGGGGCTCTATATTTTAACATATATGTTAGCACAAGGATTAATCAGTCTGTGGCGGGTCATTTGACCCAAGATTTAACCCTTGTGCTATCCTATGTAAGGTTCAAGAACCAATTAATTAATCTACTAAATTGGTCAAGATAACAAGATAACATAAACCTTTATTCATCCCTCAATGGGATTTTTCAATTTGACAACAATTCAATAATTGATTAGTTGCGATTCATTGATCAACTTGATACAGCCCTAAAATATACACCAACCTGTGTACTGTGGCACATACGGTGTGCCTAACCGCTCTGTGTTATAGCCACTGCCTCCAAGGACCTCCGTGATTTTGGATTGAAGGAACAAAATGTCCCCCCCCACTTTCTCCAGTGAAGAAGGCAGTCTGGAAAAACATGTTCGCAGAAACCATTAATATAAAAAAAAACTTCTACTTCTACTTCTACAGTGTGGAAATGTCAGTGTCGTTTAGTTCATTACAGGATTACAGGACATCAACAGTACATGGTTGCTGGTGTTAATCAACTAATGTGATAATCATACTTTGGATTGTCGATGAACACGTCCTCTGGTAAAAGGTGGGGGCTTTCCTTCTGTCTCATCTCAATCACCTGTTGAGTAAAGCATGCATGACATTTTTTTTCACCCACAGGTAGTTTGTCATGTTGGTTGCACTGACCTCATGGATGTGTTGGCAGAACGCTGGGACAGTCGTGAGCTGACAGATCAGGTTGAGGTAGGCAGCCACCAGGGCGTGAACAGCACAGCGGTTATAGACAGGCAATCCCTCGTCATTGGACAAAGCCAAGTCCTGGGACAAAATGGGAAAAAAATATACTTACAAAGTCCTGCTAGAACTCGAGTATGCAGATACACAATGTCTGGGTTTCAGGATACTTTGTATGACATGTGCCCTGTCTGGAGCATTTAAGTTAATTACAGCCAGACAAATCAAATAACAAAGGGGCAATGTACAGTTCTAAATTTACAACCATGTTTCAGCTTTGAGTGTACTTAGTAAATCATGCAATTCCAAATAAAACTGTGCTATACATACAAAATAAATATGATTTGTTAATGTCCTGCGTCCTGGATCTACAGCCTGTTTGACTGTCGAAGCGGATCCCTCAATGTGGGCCTCCCTGAGGTATCTCACTTTTTCCCACTGGATTTTTGAGTCATTCCTTGCCAGAGTCTAAAGCCTAGTGTACATCGGACTGGCAACTGATTATATCTGTCGCATATGAGTTGCTGCCCCGCACACATCAACAATCTGACGAAAACGGGCAACTCCTAGTTGCAGACCAGTCTCGGGAATAACAGCGCGTACATCGACACCTATGTATTTGTTATTATTGCATTCTCCTGTGTTTGAACTGTTTTGTCTTGGTAAATTTAGGGCAACACAAAAATTCATCCGTTGCCGGGTCGCAGGGGCAGCAGTCTAAGACGCCCAGACTTCCCTATCCACACACACTTCCTCCAGCTCGTCTGGGGAGACCTCAAGGCGTTCCCAGGCCAGCTGAGAGACATAGTCTCTCCAGCGTGTCCTGGGTCTTCCCCGGGGCCTCCTCCCGGTGGAACGTGCCTGGAACACCTCCCCAGGGAGGCGTCCAGGAGGCATCCGGAACAGATGCCCAAGCCACCTCAACTGGTTCCTCTCAATGTGGAGAAGCAGTGGCTCTACTCCGAGCTCCTCACCCTATCTCTAAGGGAGCACCCAGCCACTCTGCGGAGGAAGCTCATTTCAACCACTTGTATCCGCGATCTCGTTCTTTCAGTCATTACCCAAAGCTCATGACCATAGGTGAGGGTGGGAACGAAGATTGACCGGTAATTCAAGAGCTTTGCCTTTTGGCACAGCTCCCTCTTCACCACAACGGTCCGATACAGCATCACTGCGCACGCTGCACCAATCCGCCTGTCAATCTTTGGCTACACAATTATAATAATTGAATTAATTTTGTAAGGTCTCTGCCATCTGGCCTTTGACATGAGCCAGTCAGTCAATAAGAGGTCAAAACTTTTCCAAGAATGCAAGAAGAGCTGGACCTTCTGACCACTGAAAATGCAGACTTCTGCAAATGCTCAAATTCGACTTTGGTTAATGAATAAAACTGTGGTTCCCATTGGATCAGGAGACTTGTTCTGTTTAAGGAGACACAAACAGACGCTAGATCATTTCTGTACAATGATTGTATTACACAGACTCTGTATTACACCGATTGTGTGTAATACAATCACACACAATCGGTTCACGCATTACAGACTTCCTTCAACTAAGTATTCAGTCTGATATTCCTTGGATTTTTGATTCTTTGCCTATTTTTTTGCTTCATTCAGCACCATGACACCCAGTATTGAGACTGAATGAAGATGGCCCCATACAAACGTGTTTTGGTATGCACTTTCTCATATAATGTTAGTTATGTACAGAATAAAGATTGAATTAAGTCCAAACCTGTAAGGCGAGTGATAGGCGGATAAGGTCCACCACGACCTCCTCATTGGCCAGCTCCACACTGAGGAGAGCCAGCAGAGTGAAGAGTCTTTGATAATGCTCTCGCCCACTGCTCTGCTCTTTACAGCCCATGTAGATGTGTCGGTAGAGCTGCTGCCCATGCTGTCACCACAACAAACAAACCATTGTGAGTCACACACACTCGAACGCCAGGGATAATAATGAAGGTTAATAATTTTTTAAGTTCTCTGTGTGCAAGTGTTTGTAAACATTGGCATACATACAAAGTAGGGATGTGAAGATAATTGGGTTTAGTGATAATTGTTATTATTCAGATCACAATATTAATCGTACAAACTGTGAAAAAAAGTAATTGTAATTTTAGGGGACATTTATGGGACATTGGTCATCCCACGACCTATGGACCAGAGATTCATGTGTTTGTTATTGCATTTCCTGTGTTCTGTCTCCGATCTGTTGTTGGTTTCTTGGAATTGTTTCTTCAAAATGTGACATCAAAGTGATAATTCATAGCTGCTGGACCTTTTTCATGAATAAGTTGTCCTGTCTGGAGCACTTGTCCACTTTGAGTTTCAGCACAGAGATGTCGGAGATGATACTGTACAAAGAGAACAAAAACGAAAGTTCATTTAGAGCTACATTTGCTTTCCAACTCTTTTTCCTACCTGACATCGGAGAACTTGAGTCTGTTGTCTTTACGGTCGATGAGACTAAGCAGAATTTGCAACACCAGAAGCCGCACCTCGGGGTCCTCCGTGAGAGAAAGCGACAGCAGAGGCTCCAGGAAGGAGCTGGGCATCGCTGTGAGCATGTTGGTGGTCTCGTATCCCGCTGTTACCTGGAAAAAAAAGCAGGCATGCATTTTCAGAAAGCCCAGAAGTGCTGAATTAACTGTTCTTGCTCCATCGTATTGCTCAGTGTGCAATTAACCTCCTTTCTTTCATTACAAAGTACATGACTTTCAAAAAAGATAAACAGCCAATATTTACCTGCACTAAAGACTTGAGCAACATAACTTGAATCATTCTAGTGACATCGGGCCTGAAATTATAACAAGACAAAGAAATGTTTTTAATGTCTTGTCATTTGAGATTTGTAGCCTTCTTCGTTCTACTATAACTCACCCAGAGCCAGTAGGGGGCAGTGTAGGATGTAGTCCAGGGATCTTGCCCAAAATAAACAGCATAACCTCAGACCTCTGGTATGTTGGTAAAGTATTGGCAAAAGATCCTGCAAACAAACATATCATTTATGATTATTCAGGTGAAAACACATGATTATATTGCCACTTATAATTCTACCGCAAAAGATATAAAGCTATCTGCAGCCATTTATTTTAAAATACAAAGTTGAGATAAGCTTTTTATGGATTATTATGACCAAAAATATTTACAGTGTATTTATCATTTAACATGCTGAAAAAATATTTTTAAATAGAGTACATGGATAGAAAGACCTCATTACTATTCTATCTTAATCACTAATTTTATAGCTTCATAACCCAAATAAATTGTATTTTTTGTTTTTCATTTTTACCATCATGGCATAATAATGTTTGGCCCTTTTCCTTAAATTGTGTAATGAAGTGTGGTCTAATAGGTTGCATTCATGTGGTATCACAACATTCCAAATACCCTATAGTTCAAAATCTTTCCTGATCACTATGGTAAGTGTCAAGAGTCAGGCTTTCATTTTCAGTTTAGAGCTAGTGATATATATAAATAAATATATATATATATAAATATAATAAACGTCTATAAGTGGTTGCAATATCCAAAAAACAAATGCAAGGTATTGACCCGTAGATAGGATTTAGAATTGTGAATCTAATCTCTATTAAACAATGATATGACACATTTGGACTATTTCTTCTTTTCCATACAGCAGTATTGGCATCTACCCTCCAACTGAAGGAAGTATGTTATTGTAAGAGACAGAAGTTGCTTATTCACCGATGGTGCGGATGACTGCCTCCTGCAGTTGCCTCTCCTCATGAGCTTTGATGATCTTGGTGCCAATGTTGGTGCTGCCGTCGTAGGTCCCAGTCAGCTCATAATCCACGCTGAGGCGCAGCTGCTTCAGAAGAGTGTTGAAGACCTCCAGCACGGTGGGCCCTGGGCGAAAGGAAACCACCAGAACTTGAGCGTCTGTTCGTTCACTCAGCGTTAGCGAGGAGAGAGACGCCCGACTCACCCACGGAGCCACTGGCAGCGATGGCTGCAGCCTCCAACAGGACCTCCACAATCCCGGCCCGCACCGTGGCAGAGTTCTTACTGTTGCCGTCCAGATGACCCAGGAGCTGCTGGATGACCAAGTGAGAATGCTGCGACTGCAAAACAAAGTGTAAAGATGAACAATTACCGGTGTAACAGGCCATTTTATACACCCTGGCCAATTATACCCTGGGTATAAAATAGCCTCGGCCAGAATATACATCGATTTATATTCTGGCCTAGGCTATTTTAACCCCCATTAGGCCAGATTAACCGCCCTCTTGTTTTATCTAATAATAATAAAATATACATTATATTAAATTATTAAACTTATAAAAATATATTTGAAATCATTTAGAAGTAGTTTGCTTGTTAATTACTCTGTAGCCCTAATTAGTGTGTTTGCTTTTCACACTTTGTTTGTGAGGTAATGAGTCATTATATCTACTTACTTCTCACATTAAACTCTTAGAACTTTAGAGTAGATATTAGTTATGGGAAAATGACACCAATGCTCCGGAGCTTGTCGCTCTTTACAATCGTGTCAGTGTCTTGAACTCTGCAGCCGCTGCTTCACTACACATGTCGGTGTCGAAGCGTTTCCTTGGCTCAATGCGTTTCCTGACTTCCCTTTGGTTCAGAGCGTTACATCTCGCTTCCTTAGTGTGACTGCTGTCAGTGGATAAGCACTAAAGCTACAGATAAATGAGGCGTCAACTGTTGATCTACACATAGAGTGCATTACTTTTCTTTCTGTTAATTGTTTTTATATTTAAATATAATTGTATTCAATATAAGGATTCCTTAAAAAATTGGCATATTGCTGAATCTATGTTTTTTTGCAGTAGGCCTTGTCCAAAGGACGTGAGAAGTATGAAATTGAAACCACAACACAATAGTTTTGGAGTTTTATTGATGGTGGAACAAGGCTTTAATATTGCTTTTCATAAGCTGCAATGATTACATTTGTCCACAAGATGTTAGGCCCCGACTCCACCGGGCGCGTAAAACGGACGACGGATCCGTCCAAACATGTCCGTTTCATCTCCGTCTCCGTTATCTCCATGAGGGTGAATGGAAGTGGCTCCACTGCCTCCGCATGCGTCCGTCTGATGCACGTCGGACGTATTCCGTTAACGGAGGGTGCAACGGACGCAGACGGACGAAATAGAAACAATCCTATTTGTTCCGTCCGTCGACGCGTGTCGGGTCCGTTTTCCATTGAAAATACAATGGAATAATATATTTGCCACATTATTAAACATGTATTGATATATGCTGTAGCCCTTGGTTATAAGTATTTGTTAATGACAATGATTATTAACAAACCTGTGTAATTTTCTTCATGTATTACTTTAAACAATTGTTTCCTGATCGTAAATCTACCATTCATTTTTCGCGTAATGTAAATACGCTAATCTTTACATACACCTCGCTCTTTTTTCTCTCGCTCTGTCCCCTCTACCTCCGAGGCGCTCTCTCCTCACTGCCACACACACACACACACACACACACACACACAGAGCTATACTGCACTTATGAAAGACAGATCTCACAACAACACTGGAGTTCTTTTCTCTTTTCTCTCTCCCCTTTTTGCTTTCAATAAGTTTTGCCTCATCCATCAATCCATCAATCCTCAATGCTTCAATGTGCTGTGCTTTGCATTGATCATAGCCACAGCTCATGCACATCACACACTGCTTCTTCTATTTAAAACTATAGCGGCTGTCTGTTGCCTAAAGTTGCGGAGAGGGGAGTTGGGTCAGATAAAAGTGTATGACGCGCTAAATAAGTAGAAAACAAACGAAGAGGCTGGATCATAATAAACGCTGCGGGCACACACACACACACACACACACTTCTTCATCAGCCAAATATTCATTCATTCACACAATGCCCAAACGTGTCTCCTACAAAAACAAAGCAGGCTGATAAACGCACAGCCAGAGCTGCGCGCAGCTGCAGCCGGTTTGACCACTAGTCCGTTTTACGGACGTCTGACGGACAGCAGCCAACGCGCGTCAACGGAGACGCGCCCGGTGGAGTCCAGGGGTTAGTGTTACAAGCTAGTCTGAGTTTGCTGAGAGGCTCCGACACATTTGAACCAATCTGACAAAAAAGCGTCACTGTATTACGGGGCTTAATCTGCCCGTCATTGGAAGACATTTTTCTCAGAACTGTATTTAAGGACTGACGTCTGCGGAACAGTTCATCTGTTTGTACTCAGCGTAAGTACATGAGTATTAGGACGTTGTTATAGTTTATCAAGTAAATACAATATGGTATACCAGCATTTAGATATTGTATTGCTCAATTAATTTCTTACAGTACTTTTTGTTTTATATTATTTTTTCATTTTTCATAAATCATATCCATTCCCTAAATTTATATTTATAAGAAATTAATAAAATATTGCTTGTATTTAATTGTTATTATATAAAATGAACGAGGGGGTTAATCTGGGCAATGGTGGATTAAATTAGCCTAGGCCAGTGTATACCCGGGGGTATATTCTGGCCTAGGCCATTTTATACCCGGGGTATAATCTGGCCTAGGCTACTTTATACCCGGGTATATTCTGGCGGAGAGTTAAACTGGCCTGCTACACCGGTAATGGAATTGGAAAGACGGCAAGGCAAGACGATACACAGATTTTCAGATCATAATTTTGTGTTCACAGCTGACATGGCAAAGCACCACTTATCAATGATTGCATTTTCAGATTTTCTACCGGGAGAATTAATTTGAACCTTTTACTCAAATATTGTGAGAACATTTAGTAGTGGATTAAATGATTAAAGGGTACTAAACCTTTAGGCGCAAGACTTTTCAGAAATGTGATGTGAAACAGACCAAATGCGGAGCCCAGACACTTTCGAGTGATAGAAGAGAGTTTGAATTAAAAGTCCATACAGAGATGATAGTTGAATGGGCCTCTTGTTTTGAGAGTGTATTTTCTAAAGCCTTTTCTAGTTCTCTACATCCTTTTCAATCCGGGTGGCAGAAATATGCTCCATAAACTTGAGCTGGGCTATGACTGCTCCACAAGTTAGCAGGACTTACCTGGATAGAGTACATGATTATTCTAAAGCAGCGCACTGCAAATGTCTTCCCCTCCCATAGACAGTGATTATCCAGGTGCCTAAAAAGATGAACATAAGACATAAATCAACTCTTATTCAGCACCAGAAAGTTTATATTATGACAGAACGACAGACAGGCCTCTGATCTGCCCTTATGCATGAGCATGCTGTGTACTGAGCCACATCCCTAATGACCCGAGATAAAGCATTAATCAAACGGATCAAGGTCATTAGTTGCAGTGAGCAGTTGTTCAATCGTGCACCTCTGTTGAAACAAAGGGAAGTGCAGATGCAGACTAAGACGAATGATCTGGGCATTAAAGCAGTGATGAATGGACCAGGGTTGGTCTAACATTGCAGCGAGATTCAGAGAATACGTGCACATTAAGCATAAAACACAACTACATTACAAATTCTAAAATATGTTATGTTGTTGTTTTCCATTTAATCTACTTTCGCTAAAGTGGAAATACTTTTGTTGGGGGCTGATTCAGCACTACCACTAACTTTTGATTTATACACAGCTCAAGCTTTTGAAGATAACACAACTAATACATTTTCAGTATTCTAATTTAGATTCAGCCTCCTGTGGACTCACCACCTGCAGAGGGTCAGTGAGGGGCTGGTGCTATGAGACTTGGGTGGCATCTCTGACTGCCACCCCCCTGACCCAGAAATGGATTAAAGGGTAGAAAATGGATGGATGGATAATTTAGATTCAGACTACTTTATTTATCCCACCAGGATCAATTCATTTGAGCAGCACAGGGCATAAACAAACACATGAATGTTTATGTCTAGTCCATTAAATAGGAAAAATGAATGCTAGTGTACAGCCAGTCAAACACATAAAATTTTCAGGTCAAGCGTGGGATAAATGTATTCAGTCTACGGGTACAATACTGCACAAAATAAACAATTGAATATTCAGCACTTAAATCTCATCAGTAGCAGCCTTTTTGACCTTGCCGTCGACCTTGTTTTGCACTCCACAGTACAGCAACTAATCAGATTGATCCGGCAATTTCAGACTGATCTTTTGCGCCACCCAAGGAATGACAAAAAGAAGTACAGCCAGCGTGTATAGGAATAGAATGGAATGGTTGGACTCACGTGAGCACGGGGTTGACGGCGTTCTTGATGTTTCCATACGCAGCCCGTCCCAGTAACTCTCGGAAGCAGCGTTCGGTCAGATCCACGGGGCTCTCCTTCTCCTTCTCCGACGCCTGCAGTGGAGAGGGGGAGCGGCTGGAGAGAGGAGAGGAGCAGCACAACAAAGCAAGGTGAGGCTGGAGAGGCGAGCATGACGCGAGTTTACAAAGCACTAATGAAAACCAGATCCTTTGCCTACTCCAATTTCAACCGATCGAACAAGACTCATGTAAACAAATGCAAGAACAATAGGATTCCTACTAATTGATGTTGGTTATCAATTAGTAGGAATAGTGGTAAGGAGGCATTGATATAGCTTGAGATATGAAAACCAGTCTGTTTGGAAGTCACTACTGCAGTTGAGCTGGCGTGTAACAACAAAAAAACTGATCCTTTTGAGACATGACTGGAAGATGCATTTAAGAACGCAGGGAAAAGCCATAATTATACTGATGATGCATACAGCCCCTTCTTGCACGTGTTACATTGTTTTGTTTTGTTGCACGACGCAAAAATGGAACTTCACAGGAATCATGCGTTTAAGAATGCTGCGGAAATCCAATGATTTGTGCTGTAGCAGAGTGAGTCATGTAAGTCAAGTATCAAATAAATAAATTACAATGTGAATCTAACAAGTTTTTAACTGTGCTAAAAGCCCCTTTAAGGACGGACATTGCAAATTACCCTCAGCAATTAATGTTGTGGTGGTTCTAATTTAGATTGTGTACATTTATCCCTATATAATAAACAAATATACAAAACACATGAAAATGAACAAAATGTGATTTGTGTTCTTTAGCTTTTTATTTTCAGTTACATTGTCAGCCACTTTCCTCAGTTACCTAGTATATTGTCAATATAGGGTTTACTTTTTAATGCGCTGGAAACGGCAGGAAGTCCTGAGTGGCTCTGAAACAGTTTTGTGTGTGCTTTGCAATTGATATTTTTCTTGCTTTTTTCTTCCTGAGATATTGCTGCAGTGCAGTGTTCATGGTTTTGCACAGGGGCAGACAAGAGCAGAGAGGATTCATCGTCTAAAACAAGCGGATCAAGCGAAAATCCACTGAAGGAAGGCTAAGTTTTTGAAAAATGCTATGCATTCACTTTGGACCAGAACAGAGAAAATGGTCCAAACAAAGCGGCTACACCACCTCTCTCTGAATTTGTCCGACGGGGGGATCAATAAAGTATCTATCCATCTATCTATCAATATTTACTTTATATTCTTGTCTAAAATGTTATGTTGTTTATATCTACAAAACATTAAAAGCAAAAATTGGCCACAAAGAACAAGAACTTGGATCAAAATGTACTCACTTTCACTTATTTTAAGTTCCTTCAGGAAACAATGACATACCCACAAGGATCCCTGTAACTCAGCATGGGTGGGAAATACGCCTAATATGAATGTCTACTTGAGTAAACATTATCATCTAATACATAGGAATATAAGTGTGCACATAATGATCACTGGTAGTTTTATTTGCTTCCATTAAAGAGCAGACTTCCTAATACTGTGGTAGTTAAACTGTTTAACCCATCCTCCTCTGAATTCTTTGCTCTTGAAACGCCCTTTCTCAATAGCAGTCTGTGTCCGCAGTGAAGATGATGTGCTGCTAGTACTGGCTTACTGCACATCTGCTGTCACTGTAGGGGACGAGTGGCCTGCTAAGTTTGAAATGCCGCAGTTATACATGTAGTAGAAGCTTTTTTATTCTTGTACTTTAGTTATCATTTTTGCTCCATCCCTCAAACTCAGACAGGACAGAGTAGTCTCCCAATGTTCCCATTATCAATTACTGCTTCACTGTGAAAGCAATGTTGACCACATTACAGACCATAATGTTGACCACAATACAGACTTAAGCTTTTAGTATTTTGTCTCATGTTAAAGCCCCAATGTGGAGTAGGGTTTGTAATGACAGTGTCCTTAAGTCGACACGATTACTCAGTGGGCTGGGAACGAAACACACACATCACAGTGATTAGATTTATTAAGCCTTTTCTTGACCTTAAGCTCTGGTGGGTGGATTCTAAGTTCACACCCACTTAAACTCTGAGTTTTTAAAAGAAGAGAAAGAAGAAGAAAAGAAGAAGAATGAAAAAGTGCATATAAAAAAAATGAAAAATGCACAAAAAGTTGCCTTTCACAACAATAAGAATAACACAACTTAAAATAAAACCAAATATTTAACCTTTTTTTCCCACTAGGTCTTTTAGTTGCTGATGCGGGAGGGTCGAAAGTCACTGAGGATCTGGGACATTTAAGTACATTTATTAACAATGAAATTGGTCATCTTGCTCCCCATGGACCAATGACTTCTATGCGTTTGTTATAATTGGATTTCCGGTGTTCGAACGGTTTGATTCTCTAATCTGTTGTTGAGAAATCTACACATTTCTAAAGTCCTCCCAGACGACTGCTGTTGTGACATAGGGCTGAACAAAAAATACATTGAAATTAAGTTCAAATCAATCTCTTAACAAATACAACTCATGTGCATAGAAGAAAGAAGTATTACATTTACTAAAGCGTTTCATAATTCCCCGCACTTTCCAAAATCATTTGTTGAAATATGAATCTAATAAAAGTAGAATGAAAAACATTTTGGCTACAGTGCATCTTGCGGTGTCCGTCTGAACTGCCTCTTTCTATTAACATCCTCCATTTACGGCACTCTCTTCTCCATTATGTTGTTCTGAGCCAATCTGCCCGGTGCTCCGCTCGGTGTAGCCTTTTCTTCACCCGCGCCCTCAGAGTTCAGCACTGACATTAAGGTGATTCTCAATATGCGGATTCTACGGCACTAAACTACACTCACCTGTATAAACTTACCGCAGCATTGCATCATGTTTGACCTAACATGTCAGATGTAAGTAGGACAGCTGTAAACTATCCATGATTCTCAGCCCTCGCTAAAAGCCTCATGCCTGTATCCATTCTTCACCAACCATTTCCAACTGCTTAAAGTTTCAAGTTCTCTTTATTGTAGCAGTGGGGAAATGGGTTTTGCAGCAAGTAAACAAAGAGAAACAGTCAAATCAAAAATAACATTGATAGAAAGAATGAGAGGGTATGTCACAACGCTAGTTTAAGCCCAGTGCAATTAGTTTTTTTAAAGTGCTTAATGCCGTTAATGTGCTTCATCTGCTCCATCTCCATCTTTTTTGTCAAATGTGATGTATGAATCACATTTGGCCTTTTGTGATTGCGAATTTATTAATATTCTATTCGGAGGCATATTCAATCACGGAGCAGCAGCGGGATCTTTGCCAGTTTATTCCAGTGTGTTTGAAGTTAATCCTCACATATCAGTATTAAATCAGTCCCTTTTTGCGTATATTGTGGTTTAGCTGTAATTGTAGCATAGTACCGTCATTGAAAAGGCTTATGAAGTAAGAGTGCAAGCTGAGACTTCACATTGCTTTAAATTAACCATATTTTTGTATTAACGTCATCCTACTTTGTCTGCCTATGTACTCCTAAATCAGCACAAGCCTGGAGTCATTGCCATAGTCGCAGACCAATTTAATTAAGTTAATTTTGCCTAGTATTGCATTTGTCCCAGGGCTAGAGAACGACATGCAGGTGCTGGACGGAGTGTTTCATCAGTTGCATTTAAAAGATTGACGCCTCTAACACTTAGTTTTACTGTCAAAACAATTGACTAAAACCACCACCAGTAGCTTCTTTACTGCGGGCTGTGTGACCAAAGCTGAGGCACAGCGCCAACACAGTTTTTATGGGTCATCACCATTTACACCACAAGCAACATGGCCTCATTTGCACACTTTAAATGAACCCGGGGCTCTTGGTCATGAGCAACAAAAGGACTGGTCTGTTGTTAAGTCTCACCTCTCTGTGCGTTCTCCGCTGTGCAGGTTGAACAAGAGAGATGGCACAATTTTGTCCATGTGCTGTGGGTCCCAGATATTTGCCTGAAGTTCATCATTCACCGTCTTTCTCACTACGCCCTGAAGACCTCTGATACCCGCCATTCGAATGCTTTGAAACAAAAAATACATTTGATAAAAATAAAAATGCCAGACTATATTAAACCAAGCATAGATTTTTTTCAACTATTTTTGACTCAAACAGCATTTTTATCTTTGACAGCAGGGACAAAAAAATGTGCTTAAGCCAGTCAAAAATAGATCCTGTTTTGTAATGCCATCAATGGATGATTAAATATACTCACTTTGTGCGGACATCAGGGTCCTCATAGCTGGAGTGACACATTTCACTGAAGCGCGACACAAAGAAGTCATAGCTGCGGTGATACGAAGGTGTGTCCTCTTCTATGTTGGCAAACTTTACAAACTGACAAACAAGGTTACATTTAGAAATGAGTCCGTATTCTAACATTAAAATTGTGAATGCACATTATTTCTGTACTCTGCCATAATATGTCATTAGGCTTAAAGGAAAGAACAGTAGGAGAGGCGGCCTGCTGCGGCAGAAATGTCACTGTTTAAACGAAGTGACATTTAGTGCCACGTCACTTTAATAAATGATGATGAGGAACTTCAGAGAACATTTCTGTTAATTAACAGTGTATATTCATTCGGAGTGTGCTCTGTATTATGCAGCAATTTCCCCATGGTCTTAATGAAACTTTATCCTATCAGCACTTGGAATGATTCTCAAATTAAATTAAATGCTCTGGAGCCATAAGGGCTCCTCCTCAGTCAAAGTAATTTATTGCAGCAGCTGATGTCCGGAAGAGGCCTGGTATTTCTGCCAGCAAGTGCTTACAGAGTTTAGCTCAACATTCTACACGGCAAACAAGTACACTGACGCCTGACTGGAGCAAAGGCTAAAACATTTCTATAATGACTGCTGTCTAATGATTGTATGTTGTGATATAAGTGAGAGCACACTACTCTGAAAGTAGAAGCATGAGCGCGTCCGTCTGTGGCAATGACTGCGCAGTTTTCTCATTATCTGTTCAGATGCTTCTGTTCTGCTTGAGCTGAGCCAGGAACAAAAATTATAAAAGATTTATTTATTTATTTATTTTTTCTGCCCAGCTACGACTGACAAGATAAGGGGCTCCTGAACATGACCCAACCACAAACAAGACTCAACCACAAACAAGACTCATACTCTGCATCGTGGGCAGTGGAGCCTCCCCACTTCCCCACAGCAGATCAGGAAGACAATTCTGCCAGGTAGATATGGTCACAACATACACTTTCTAAAAGTTATAACATCTAGTAGCAAGCAATGAATGTGTATGTATCTAAAATAAGCGAAATTACTATTAATATTACTATTATAATTATTATTAAAGCCCAACCCAATATTTACCGAGTTGGTCCCAAGGATTTGCAGACTGGGTTTGTCTGACTCCAAAAGCTTCCGGACCATTTTAAGGAAACTTTCTACAAACAAGTTGATGCTCTGGCAGTGACAGGCCATTAGCAGTTGGTCCAGAGCCTCCATGGCGATGCACACATAACTGAGGGTGACAAAACACAAACAGGAAAATCTTTTAGTGTTTGAGTTTAGGTGATGGTGGTTCATTCATTTGCTTGTGAGCATTCGACAAATGAACAGTCTGCCAAATGTAAATGTATGATGAAGATCTCTGTGTCGCCTGACCCGGGTCATACAGTCCAGGAACAACGTGCAGCAGGTGCGGAAAATTCTGCGATAATAATGTGCTATATTATCAGAATCTGCAATTCACACGTGTCCTCTATCACTTTTAGCCCAGAGCCTCATGCTGCTGACATGTACGGTAGTTTTATCATCACTGTGAATATTTCAACCCATAGAACTAATTGTTTATCATTACTTCTATATTGTTGCGGTGTATTATAGATATATACACCATATTTTAAGTATATATATTAAGTATAGCATTGCACTATACTTGATAGTCACCTGTGTTGTGTGATCCTCATTTCTACTGTTCTGTAACTTGGGATGGAATACAGACATTTCCCCACTGTGGGACAAATGAAGGATCTCTTGATCTTTCTCTTCTCTCTCTTTATGTGCTATGTTGTAAGAATGTGCACGATACTACCACTAGTTTCCACTCAGGACACAGATTTATTCTGCTCATATTCTGCTATGCTACGGTACATAGTGAAGTCAACTATATTCTCCAAGATTACTATTCTATCTTTATTCTGCTTTAGAATTTCTGTGACTATTGGTCCCTGCTGCTCTTTTATTTTATTTAGCGATCTTACTTATCTTAGGTTTAGCGCCTAAAGTGTATTATATGTATAGGTTTATATATTTGATCAAAGATTACTGGAAAATTTGAAAGAAAATGAAGCATTCAAAGCCATTTACTTTGTCTTTATGTGTGTGCTCTTCATTCCTACTGTAAAATGCAACACTGACATTTCCCCACTGGGGGACAAATATGGGTTATCTCTGGATGCACCGATTGTGAAATTTTGGACTGATACCGATACAGATGTTTAACATGTTCAACCGATGGCCAATGTTTTTACTTTTTGTTATTATATATATATATATATATATATATATATCAATGTTGTGCGTGAACGAGTTCAAATGAACGCATTTATTGAACACGCTCATTTTTTTGTGAACGTTGAACTGAACGCAATTTTTTTTAATAATAAACTTGAACGTGAATTGGTTCAAATTATGTGTCATGAACGGCAGACATGACAGTAAATGAGCGTGACATCTGTTTTCTCTTTTGAAACGCAACGAGAGAAAGTTCCTCCCTCCTGTATTCTCCGCAGTTTTTCCGCCGAAAACTAAAAATTCCCACGGTTTCCGCAGTCTGTGAACAAACCCCAACTCTGTTTTGCGGTGCGGCTCTGTATGCTAGTGCTTTTCATGGGTTGTTGGACTCGCATGTGGCCGAGTCGTGATGAAAACAAAGGGTGAGTTAGCGACACAGGGCCAACCGTTTACATTTGACATAAAGTATAGACACACGTACTGCAGCGCATTACTGTTTGTACTTATGAGCAGAGATGGGACAACTGAGTTTTGCTCCCATTGAAACCCATGTAAATGTTGTCTGTTTTGGAATTATTTTCTAGCAGTCCCCCCCTCTTTAGATCTCACAGCAACAATACAAAAAGGAATCACAAGGAAAAGTGCAAGCGCGCGCACCTCTGATATAAGTGGCTTAGCCGGTCACCTGGTACTACATACGCGGAAGGAGGAAAGTTTAGACAGGCGCGCGCAAACCTGGTGTGCAACCCGAGCTGCGGGCCATTCATGGATGATGCTACGGAGTGGTTTATAGAGAGGACAGGGTGAGGTGACATGTGGCGGACCGGCGAGACCCGTGAGTACGAAGTGTTTCATTTACTGCTTTAAAACATTCTGCGCAGGAGCGTGCGCCTCGCATCGGGGAGAGTGACAGGCGCACACAACTAGGGCTTAGTGCAGGGGTGTCCAAACCGGTCCAGAAAGGGCCGCTGTGGCTGCAGGTTTTCTATCAGACCCAACAGAAGCAGAGTAGACTCCACCCATTTCCTCAAGTGAGTTCAGTCTTAACTTGAAGATTTGAGGAAATGGGTGGAGTCTGCTCTGGTCCTGCTGGGTCTGATAGAAAACCTGCAGCCACAGCGGCCCTTTCTGGACCGGTTTGGACACCCCTGGCTTAGTGAAAGAAGGAAAGCAATGACTCACAAACTGCATAACGCTGATCTTTCTATGATACTGTAAAATATTGCCACCGCCACTTCTTTATTTCTTCTATAGAGAAAAGTGTGCGGACGCCCTCTACTGGTATCTCTTACCATACCATCAGCGAATGTCATTGTTTTTGCCAATGGCCGATGGTAGTTAACAAGGTAAACGTTGGCCAATGCCAATGTTCAGCCGATGCGTTGGTGCATCCCTAGTTATCTCCTCGTCATTGCTCTTGGGTGTATTGCTAATTTAAGTGCTTGCTAGTACCCTGTCCGTAGTGATTGAAGAAGTAGTCTATTTTCAGAGCTGAGTGACAGTGGAGCCTCACCCATATCTGTGTCGGGCCACGTCCCTGGACAGTCTCTCCGACAGGTATGCCCCGATACGGTCCAGTTTCTCTGGAGCCGACAGGGCGTAGAATGTCAGCTTCTCCATGTTGGCTTTGACTAACCCATCCTGACAAAGAGAGGAAAGGAAAAATATAAAATGTTTAGAGGTGTATGAGGTATAAGAGCTCAAAAAGCCCATATTTAAAAGAAAATGCTCGTCTCTAAACAGAGACTTTCTAAAAAGGGAAGAAACCTCGCTTGCCAATGAAGACAGTTTAAACAGCTTATGCTTCCAAATAGATTAATTTCTTAAAACTATTTTAGCCTGAACAGTATGCCTTACCGTTTATGGATATGGTAGCAAGCTAGCATTGATTATATATCAGGGTTAATTGAAATAAGAAAAGGAATAGCATTTAGACAGCAACAAATTCCTTGAATGAATGAAGTTAATCATACATTCAATGGACACAATCAATGCAAAAAGGCTACAGCAACCGCAGTCTGAAGTTTATATTCTCATATAAATAATTTGAAGCACAATGATTTTTGTCATTGAGCTGCTGCCAATTGGCTGCAGATGCAGAAGAGAAAGTAGGTTACTGCAGCAGTCCAAAGAGTCCCCTGAACAACCACTGCCAAGAGTGGCTATTCATTTAAGAATTCTTGATCAAATCTTAGAAACATAATGTAATATTCCACGTTATTGTGTGAGAACTTACCTCTGGGTCTTCTGGGAAAATGTTGTCAACGAGCCGTTTGTATCTGGGCCTGAGTGCCCCACAACAACCACAAACTCCTGAAACATAGGAGGAAGACAATATATAATTAGTTTGTAGTTTTAATAGTTTTGATATCATTCGGACATCTTTACATCACTGATGTGATGGGAAGGGCTATTCTTATTGTTTTCTGTCAATTGCATAGACGTACTCAAAATGTTTTTAATCCATTGCACCTTCCCGGAGGACTGCTCAGCATCATATAGATTTTTTTTTTCTACTTTTGCAAAGACCTAAATGCAACCAAAAAAATAAAGTGAGAACTCTGGGATTGGTCAGGGGATTTCAGCAGCGATGAGTCATCAGGAACTGTCTTCAACGTATTATATAATCTTCTTTTCACGACACTTTCAATGCAGAACACACACACACGGATGTAGGTTTAAGATTCAGACATCGCAAAGGCAGAAGTAGGTCACTGCGCCGTCACCAATGCAGTCGCATACAACGGAATGGATACCACTCCACCAGAAAAGAATATAAAAACCTCACTTAAAACCTATTGTTGCTCAGAATTGTTAATAACCAGCCTAAAAGTCATGGTTCCTTGCCCCAACATACAATAAAGAAAGAATAATATTTCAAATGACAACTTTCACGGTTGTAAGCAATGCCCTAGCTCTTCTTTTATTGGACAGGAATATTCATATTTTGGAGTTGAATCAGCTGGAGGTTTCTTCCCAGCCAGACTCGTAGGAAAAGTCTATTCATAGCAATTCACACATTAATGAAGCTGTTACGTCTGTCCCACAATCACACTACGAGCCAGAATCGGGAGGAAACACCAAGGAGTAAATTAAATGTAATTCAACAAATTAAAAGAAATATACAGGAGAACAGTTAAGCTACTTTAAGATGTTATGTGTTTATTTTACTTTATAAAATGGTCTTATCTCAGTCTAGAAGTAGAAGCCTTTTTCTCCTGTTAAAATTTGAAAACCACATCCAACCATACAGCTGGTCATAGAAACCATTTAATGACATCCTGAACTCCCAGTAAAGCTTGATAATAATAGTGTTTTTCATATGAGATGTAAAAGGCAGATTTAAACTCTGTTGGCAATAAGAGGATTGTCGCAAACGCCGCAGTGAGAATGACAAAGGTGAGGAGCATGAATAGCAGGAGGTCTCACGACAGCCACCCACTCTTCATGGAGGAGGCTGGCTCCTGAGGGGCTGGGCACCAAGTTCTCTCCACATCACACATTGGCCCACACTCCAGGCTGCTTGCAGCATACAGCTGGGCTCTAAATCATGGTGTTAGCGAGCACACAGAATAAACAACAACACGGAAGGGCTGTCCAGACATGTAGGCACTGACACTTATGGATGGGTCCACACCTCCCAAACCAAAGCAGCTAATCACAAAGCTGTTTTTATCCAGCTGACAATGGGAGGCGTACATTTAACAGATTATAAATGGCATTTCCGCCTGAAGTGCAGCTTAGTGAATCCACATTAGAGGATGAAGACAGGAAGCGTGTATGTATAAAGCAGGTAGAACTATGTAACATGAGGACAGGCATAATAGTTTGCCTTCATGTTGTACAATTTGGAGACATCATAAGGCCCATACCTCTGCGCTTAGCTGTTTTGATCCCAGTTGAATGTGGAATTTTTTTCATAAATTTGTGATGCCACTTGAGAACGTCTTCATAGAGACGAGTTGTAACACAGCAGTCACAAGACAGCATGTGTAACTCTGGGGATGGTTCAAAATGCAATTCATAAATTAATTCATTGTCAAAAATGTATTTGTTGCAATTAATTGTATTTATTTGTGACGTGCAGCCGTCATAATCTCTTAAGAATACACAATTATTAGCAAATAATCTTGAGCTCTTGGAATTGGATCCACATCGTACCACATTAATTTATTGTCTTCAAGCCCTTTGAACTTACCAGAGTGACCACTGACCACGCTTATACAATGGGTTTCCGAATCTATTGTGAATGATGTTTATCATTCACCTATGTTTATAGCCCACTTGAACTTGCCAGGTTTTGCAGAACAAACCTGGCAGATAAAAAGCCACAGAAACTATGTACAAAGATTTAAACCACAATTAGATCCTTCACATAAGGATTGTGAAGGATCTAATTAAATCAATTACAGGTGTATGGGTGTAAAAAAGTGAATAAATTAGCGAAGCTGCAGCCCTAAAGACAACATGCATATCATGACAAAACTGTGCATCATAATTATTGGCTCAGATAATTGAGAAAATTGCTATTTTTAGCTTCTGCTGATTCATGAACAGCATCAAAGTGCATTTACTTAAAATGAGTTACCATTTTCAGTGACAGTCTATATCAAATGTGTTCTTCTGTGCAATGCAGTATATAATATAGAAGGGTAATTGTGGTCTCATACTTGCAGCTGTTAGCTAAAAGCTGCTTGTTTGCTAGTCACATGGCATGGGTAGTGCATACACACTGTATGAAACTGTTGGCCTGTAAGTGATTTAGACATATCTCAAAGGATTTAAAAAAGGGATACAGCCAACAGTTTTGAGAGAATATTAAAAGGCAAAGCGAGAAAATATGGAATCAAAGTGTACAATTAAAATAATTATGTCTAAAATACAATTCTCTTACACCTTCATGTGTATTACATAAGATTTTCCAAACCCGGAACAAACAAAGACATAATATCTCTGACAATGAAACTGGGATTGAGGCACAAATAGACAGATGGAGGATTTTTTTTTGCAAACAGAATAAAAGACAAGTGGATGCACGCAATATCGTAAGTCTTATGTACTTGAGATTTTGCCCAGAGGGAAAATAAATGAAATACAACACATTGAGCTTACATTGGCACTCTTATTTGCAGCATATTGCCCCGCTATAGATTATTTTTATGCAGGCCATTCATCCAGGCTTGCCAGATACAAGCACTGATTTGATCCGGTATAGGTGGCCCAATACACGACTGATATAATACACGCAACACAGGAGATGAACAGGTCCAGATGCCAACAAATCCTTGTGACATACAGTCCAATGGCACACCATGAATCACAGCCCAAGAGGGGAAAATGGTCTTGAGCATGAAGAATGGAAAGCCTTCAACAACAAAGTAAAGGTGCAGTAGTCAAGTACACTTATAGTTATGTTTAGAGAATTCTGTACATCTCTAAAAGTGATTTTTTTTTTCTTTTAAACAGGGGCGCTTCATTACCTATCCCCAGACACTATCAAGTTGAATATTGTACAAAGATGTTTGGGTTCAGACAAAAATAACTCAACTGAAGCGTTCATATTTTAACTGGGCTGGTCCATGCCCTTTGAAAGTGCAAACAAATGCAGAGTACATTGTGAATTGGGACTTAATAATCAATAATAGTAGTCCATACATCAGCCTGTCCCATAAAGACTATCCCAGTTCACTTTGGTAATGCTATCACAACACAACAAAACGCAGCAGATAGCCAGAATCAATACAGAGTAGAAGACACGTCTATGCAACACACAATAGGGAGAGATTAAATTACCAAAAATAAACATTGTAGTAGCTCCTAATCAGTCAATTCAGATATAAAATGGCATCGCAAAGTGCTCCAGTCTGCATGCCGTGTCCACGATGAGGAGAAGGTCCCACACACGCGGAAAAAGAAAAGCCATAAGAATGTGGCAGAACTGGTCAGGCATACATGACAGAAATGACACAGAAGGAAACAGATCATCTTACCGTACATCGTGATGTTTCGGCTGTAGTGTCAGAGATTTTACGCGTCTTTAGCGGTGGAGAAATTCATACGAAACCAGTGCGCAAAAGCAAACAGCACTTCTACTGTATGGGTATGGTGTGCACGTGTGCTCGGGGCGCATAAAAAAAAAATAGGTATCACTAAAAAGGCAGTGATTGGTGCAAAGGAGAGGATTTGTTTTATTTTTTTTCCTCCAGTGCTGCGTTGCCCACGTCACTGGGAAGCGTGCCGTGTTGACCTTGGATTTTCCCCCTCCGTTGCCACTATAAAGGCTCCGTGCGGGAAGGATGGAAGCAGGGAAGAGGTGGATGCATGGGTGCGGGGGGCTTCTCACGCCCCCCTGCGCGTCATCCAATCATATTCACGGTGTCTGCCCCGAACACGCAAGAGGAAAAAGACACGGGAGGAAAAAAAAGCAGGGAGACGGGAGACAGAGACGCGCGCTAAGGCAAGACGTCCCGCCCACGCTCCTCACGCGTTCTTCGCTTTTCTTCACCATCAATTAACTGTTCACTGTTGAAATGGCGAGATTCTGTGTTAAACTGGTTGAAATTAATCTATGAAAGGATTTGATTGGTCCATATGATAGTATTTCCCAAATGGATTTCCCAACAGCACTAGTCACGTCACAAGCCTTTCATTGTGTCTTATTGATTTACAAATGGATATGGGGAGTGTACTTGTATTGCACAGTTCATAGACAAGGGAACTCAAAGTGCTTGGCAAAACAAACTAGAAGCAATAAAATCACAGAAGGCCATAGTCATAAATAATCACAGTACATTAAAACAATAAACCTCAAGTTGTGTGCACAGCAAAATAGAAATGTTTTTATATTGGATTATAACATTATTAGTAGGAGTCCATCTCACATTTTCAGGAAGACTGTTCCAGATTTTAGCTGCATAAATCTGAAATGCTGCCTCCCCAGGTTTAGACTGGACTGGGCACCAGCAGACGGCCAGTCCCTTTGCTCCTCAAAGTCAGAGTCAAAGAGTTGGTCACTTATGTCAAGTCTCCATGCACTTTGGTGCATGGAGAAATTTGTACACAAGAAGAGCTGCTTTAAAGTCCATTTCCTCAGCCCCAGAAAGCCAGTGCAGAGACCTGACCACTGGAATAATGTGATTGTACTTCCTGGTTCAGGTCTGGACTCGAGCTGCAGCTTTTTAAATATAATGCAGCTGTTTGGAGAGCCTAGTGAGCAGGTTATTACAGGAGTCTAACCTACTGGAGAAAAACGCATGGATAAGATTCTCCAATATTATAAAATGTCAAATATATTCTCATCTACAGTTTCATGAATGTAATGAGATAAACTCATGTTGACATCAGTAATGCATCAGCTCAACTTGCAGTGGCTTTGGCTTTCAGCATGACGCTTGCGTTTATTCCTTTAATCTCATAATTTCATTGTTGTGTATAAAACTACTGTACATAGTTTTCACTCCTTGGACTTCTGCAAACTTTGAATCACAATATTTTGTGACGTTAACTATTTTTATATAGATGAGCCCATGTTCTTTCCTTTCTTTGTCTAGATAAAAACACCATTGAATTTTTTGATTAAACATATTTCGAAGGAAAAAACCCACATTTAACTTTCAATTAAGATTTGTTTAACATTCCAATAGAGAGCTTTAATCAATCCCATTTCACTTAGAAGTCAGTGAGCCAGTTCAAAACACTTCTAAAATATATCCTGTTTGCTTGTGGATTATTCTTATACAAAAACATCCTTAAACCAAATGAAAAGTGGTTAACCTATTGTCAGTTGTCAGGCTTTATTTTCCTTTGCTTTAAAATGTGTTTGATTACTTCTTCTGTACTATTTCTTGCATGTTGAGATTACATTGACGATATATTAGAATAATATGTCTATGGTGTTTCACAGATCCACAAACATTTAGAGCTCATTTAGTCAAACCTCCATCTGTTATAAAATACGCTCTTAGACTGTATACCGCTAAATAATAATTATCAGGAAGGTCTTTCATACCCTATCAACAGTCCTTATCAAACACAATATTTATAACCATAGTAATAGTAGTAGTAATGCTTTGCAGAGCACGCACTTAAGAGAAAGTTTCCTTTTATCACTTACTCTTGCCACCACGATGGTCCAAAATGGTACGGCAGTCCAGTGCCAGTCTCTGCGTGGCTGGGACATCGGGCACAGGCAAAGGCATAGTGAAAAGTATAATTTGGCCTCAAATGTTACCAAAGCTAGGCGTCCACCTACGTCGACAATTTCCCACAACAAACTTTAGAAAGCGCACAGTACTAACCACACTGAAATTATCCTCTTTCAGAAAGACACAGAAAAACAACTTTGAATGCAGCAAGAAAAAAGGTTCTTCAACCACCCATGGATCTTTTCTCAAAAGCCCTTACCGGTAATCTATAATAATACAAAGGCTATATCAGGAGAGAGATTAGCGATTAGAGCATCTACTGCAGCCTTGCTCTCTGAATGACACTTACTCATTAATAAACATCTCACTAACACAATGGATCGCAGTATACAGCCTCTGTGCCCCTCTCTCTGGGCATGGGACAAGCCAACCACAGAAAAGAACAGGGCGGAACATGACAACAGGGGACCAGTGGGACTGACAGTCACTGTGGGCTTGGGGTTTGAGGAATGCAGCCAGTGGCGATACCAGTGGCGATACCAGTGCTATGGGAATCTGGTAAGTTATATTCATTACACATGACTGACACAAATGTATTGAAAACAAAATAATGATTTATAAATGTATTTTACAGTGTAATTCAGCAGAAACACTTCTGTGAAACAGGACTCGAATTATCAGAAGTTGCACAAATGCAATAAGCCATAATAAGCCATGAATGAGAATGTACTGAATTACTGCAATTTTTACAACTTCATGGAATGAATGTGGCCTGATGAGACAGAGCCACACAATATTACAATATTGATCACATTGTTCATGTGTCAGAAATGGCCTGGCTGGTCAGGTTCGAATGAGTGATGCACACAACAATCAGGGACAATTCTGCTTGTGCTTTAACCCCTCATGCCCCCCTAACCCGGATGTGTCATGTGTCCCAGTTTTTATTTTAGGAAAGACCTGTCACCTGCAGTATGGATATATTATCATCTTCACAACCAACTCAGAAAGTCCCTACCTGTCATGTTGATTTGCGTCCCCGGGGCGGCGCTGCTGCTCCAGGTTCCCACAGGGCGAATGGACGCACAGAGCTACGCCCAGCGAAGTGTCCTTCCTGCGGCTTTGACAAGCAAGAAATCCCGCGGATCGTCTGCGGCCTGCGGAGGTCAGTTAGCATCATGGTTAGCACAGTCGGTTTTAGCGAAAGGGTTAACAACCAACATGTTTGTACTTCTCTGGAATTAATATTCACATCCGCAGATGACAGATTATGTCACTAAAACTATCTCTAAACCATTCAGACGTTTTAAGGAGAATACATGTGTCCAGTGCTGTGTATACTATAGTGTAGTGGGCTAGTGCTGAGTCCTGCTGATTTTACACTTTCTCATTTTACTTATGTTTTACAGACTCATTTGACGAGTGGAAAGATTTAAGAAAAATACAATAAGCATACACAAAAACATGATCAGACATTAAAAACAAGTTTGTTTAGAACATGCTATGCTATATGCTAACATAAACAATACTATCTTATTGATCAGCGTCAGTCTCTGTCAGAACGCCACACGCCTGACTTACCATAAAGCGAACAGACTTCAGGTCCTTATAACATTCAGCATGAGGACTGTTAAGTGTGTCCAGGTCACAAATACGAGTGAAGTAAAGTGAAGCCTCAGGTGTTTCCAGCTGCCACTCTTGAGTAAGGAGCCAGACACAAGATGACTAATAGAAACCAACCCATTTCACCATGGCCACAACAAAACCAGATCTGTGAGTAATAACGCATATGTCAATGATTTAATAAACAACACGATTTTGTTTGGGCATATTGCATGTTTCAGTCATTACTTGCTACCTTATATTGGTTGCTATTGTGTTGCAAGATTACACTGTATTTTTGACATGACATAAGGCTGGACGTAAAGATTTGCTGGCTGAAGTACTGTATGAGTGAAGGTAATACATTATTAGTTTTATATAGCGCTTTTCTGGACAGTCACATTGCATTATTCATTCACTCTATGCATGATGGGGCTGACTGACAGAAGCAATTGGCTATCTGTTGCATCCGCCTCGCTAACCAGGTATTCACACATACACACACTTCTGCATGTATATTAAGTAATTTGAAATAAATGCATACATTAAAAAAGTGCACCTCCCTGTGCCACTAGAGGTCTCCCATCACTTAACCAACCTGGCCCTGTCCTGCTTATAATCTGAAATGCTTTCATACCACAAGTGTAATTCAGTGTTCACAGACAGAAAGCAACGAAACACAGCACTTTCACAGCTGTTGTTGGTTGTTGTGTGCACTTTGTCCACTGTGAGTAAGTGCAACACTGGGTCACTGTTGGTTCACGTGTAGCTCTAACACATTTCAGCTTATTAGTGCAGGGTCAAAGCATCAAGCTTTAATACTAATTAGCTTTTAAGGGGTTTGCATTCAGTTGACTTTCAGCCTCTCTCTATCTCGTCACCCAGGTTTAATCATTAATCAGGAGGTTATATTGCCAATCAAAACAGGTTTGTTTCCATTTCCATTTTTGCCATTTTGTCAAAGACTTGTTTTGTCTCAAAGACTTTCAATGTTTTGTTTGTGATGGTAGTACTCTATTAGTAGTTATAGGGAATGGGATACAAAACATTCTTTGCTTCGATTTACTTTTAGTTAATGGAACATTTATGTTTGTGAAAGACTATTACAGTAATGGTGTCCAAGCAGGATTACTCTGTGTTATCAAATCAGCTCTACTTGTCACTTTTTTTTAGTCCCAAGTACCATGTAGCTTTTTTTCTCAAACTAAATGTAATGTGTAATAAATCTATATGTGAATGTGATCTCATTTTCCATGACTACACATCATGATTCATGTGTGGTCAATTACATATATCAGTATTATTCAATACCTTAAATACCTTAAATCACTGATATTGTATAGCATTATAAATAGTTTAGCTATTATTACATTTTTGTAATATGTTACATTTATAATTGGGGATCAGCCCTACTCAGCATCCTAAAGTTATGCTGATGTTGAAGCAGTTAAAGCAGAAGTAATTGCCTTAGACATTGGAGTTATTTTTAGATATACTGTAATCAGCAGGAATGGTTTAGCCACACAGTCACGGTGAAGCAGATGGGAACTCATTAGATCTGCCTTAAAGGCTTTGTGCATTGCCTCGGCAAAATTAGCAAAGAAAGGATCAAAACCCATCTTATATGTCAAGCGGCCACAGCCAAACAAACCAATGTTCATCATTTTAATTGCACTTTTGGTTTTTTTTACATCCAAAGTTTTGTTTGTATACAATCACACAGTAAGAACAATAGAATAATAATTCTAGCCAGTTTTGTCCATTATTTTTTACATAATACTATTATGAATAAATAGAATGACCAAATCTGAATTGTAAATCATTGGGTTGGTGTTGCTTTGGAGACAGGGACCTGTAGGCCACATGAGTGGCTGCAGATTAATCCTCTTTTCAGCACACACTCCCGCAGCTCTGCTTCGCAGTGGTTGTTGACAGTCCAGGTGGCCAACTAATATCACTCAGAGCATCTCATGGTTAGGCTTTGAGATCTACTTCTTTTTCAAGAAAGATTTTACCATGTAATCTTTTTATTTTGAACACTTTTGAAGAGATTGGGTTATACTTTTCAGATCATCAGCCATCCTTTACAATGGACTGGCTGGAGGACTATGTTTTGTGGGAGAAATCTGACTGTGGATAAGAAAGCAAAGGACACAGGTAATTATCCATTTTTCATCATAGTCCTTGTCTCAAATCATTTTTTTTGGGGGTGGGCACCAATAAGCTTTTGCTTCGGCCCACTCCTTTTGAGCAGTACTTGTCTGCTCAAATAAACAAATAAAAATAAATTTTAACTATAAACAAGCCATGTTGAATTTATTAGAGGTATTAATTATGATTCTGTTACACAACAGGTAGTTTATAAAAACCGCAAATGATGCTAATATTTCAAACACAATAAAGGCTAGGCTAGTATGCTATGTGTGTTTCAAGCTAGAGTGACTGGCCTAAAGGAGTTTAACTCTTAAAGCAGTAACCAGCTCAGGTCTAAATAGGGCCTATAGATAATTTGTTTGAAAGCTGCAGTCTGGCACACACGATCACGACACATGGACCCCGTCTCACTTTTGTTTTTCTTTTAAAATTCACTATGTAAATGTTTGAGATGTTATTGAAATTCTGGTTCCATGATATGATATTAAACATTTCTGGAAGGATAAGCAATTCAGACCTGTGGAAAGTACACAGGTCAGTACACATACATGGAATAGACACTAATACTGAATAAAAACTCAAATATACATTTGATCCAGAATAGTTCCACTGGGATTAAGGGCACGTTCTTTCATACTTAAGACCATACTTCATAGTAACTAGTGACTCGTTGATTTATAAATCTGAGAGTGCTAACCTGGATCACGAGAAAGTAGCTCTGAATAAGGTTCTCATCAAGGTCCTCGTGGGCAGGTACTGGTGAAAACTTCATCTTCAGGGCACTTTTCAAACATTTGAGACGTGAGTCCCGTGACTTAGGTGATGTGACAATGAAGCAAGCATGTTTACATGCATTCACAAAAACATAGCAGAATATACACACAACAAAAACAACATACACAATTGGACCACTTGTTTGGTGCTTTCAAGTGAATCAGAATTAGTCCTAGCTGAATTCTCTTCCTCAGGCCTCTTCTGGTAAAACATTTGACCCTGTAAACAAATGATTATACTGTTTTCGAATACTTTCAGACTTTCACTGATACCTGAAGGCAGAAAGAAGTGGATGCCAGCTCAGGTCATCATCATGGTGACTTTCGCAGAGACCAATGCGCTGGAGCTATGTGAGCCGGTGTATGTGAACACCTGCCTTTCTCCAGCCCTGCGCAAGAAGAAGATGCTCTGGCAAAAGGCTGTTAAACATGTTATAGTTCAACAGGAACTCTCTGCTCAGGTTTACATAAACTTAATTTTACATTAATATTCAAACTCAAATACAGTTCAAATACATTGTGTATGTTTTGTTACAGTATAGAATCCACTTTATGGAAAATGATTTTTTTTCACAGGTGGGTGTCGAGCCATATAGGCAGATATTAGTGACTGATGCATACATGCAGGAGATCAATCGGCAGATCCGGAGTCGGGTTTTACGTGGAGTTACAAAGAGACGCTCGTCATGCTTCAGAGTTCACCCCCAGAGAGGCTCTAACAACAGTACTGGAGGAACATACCATGACTATGCCAGTGATGCGGACTTCTTTGTGCGCTGGGGCGGTACTGCACGTGGGGTACATATACCCACATTAAGACACACCTTTAAATCTCGGGATTTGGAGAAACTTTACCAGCAACACTCTTCTCACCAAAGACGCAACTCCCTTGCCATCACTAGTGTCATTGATGCTGTGGCCAAGATCCACGTATTAGTTCTATATCTTGCATTTGCTCCTGAGGAAACTCCAGATGCTTTACGCGGTTGCCTTACAAGTCTTTTCATGGTTTTAGCTTTAGCCCTGTGTGTTGTGGTTCTAACCTGCAAAGACTCCTTGTCTCCAACATGGCTTCACTGTGCTGGTGTAGCCTGTTGGTTATCACAGACTGCACAGGTGCTCGGAGGATTAGGTTATGGACTGGAGAAAGACCCCTCGTGGTACGTCTTATTCTCACTTTTTGCTACTTATACTCTACTACCGTTACCGCTGCTGTGGGCCATGTGCGCTGGCTGTCTGACCACAGTGCTACATCTTCTAGTGGAGATGACACGTTCATACACTGATCCAGTCCTCATAAGACAGGTACATATCACAAGCTACAAGCAATACAACACTGTTACTCCAGTGAATTTTAAAAATTCATTTATTCTTGAGCGCAGGTAATTGCCAAAGGTCTCCTTTATTTGGGCATGAACACAGCTGGTTTGTGCATTCACTACTTGACAGACCATGCTCAGAGACAGGTTTTTCTGGAGACACGTCGCTGTATTGAGGGCCGTCTCAAATTAGAGCAAGAGAACCAAAGACAGGTACAAAAATGCATTTTTAAATGGCCCACACACTGTTTCATACAATTGTTTTTTTGTTTCTTTGTCTGGATCCAACACAGGAGCGGCTGGTACAGTCTATTCTGCCTCGATTTGTTGCCTTAGAGATGATTTCTGATATGAACTCTATGGACGATGATATCTTATCTCAGGAGGTTCACAAGATTAGCATTCACCAATACAGAGATGTCAGGTACACCTCTTTTTATCTCGACACGATTTCTAGAGAATCCTTTATGACACGCTATCTCTAATCACAAACAACAATCATTTTTCAGCATCCTTTTTGCTGATATCAAGAATTTTACACTTCTGTCCATAACTTTGTCAGCGCATGACCTCGTCCGCATATTGAATGAACTTTTTGGACGTTTTGACCATTTGGCAGAGGTGAGAGTGTTGTCATTAAAGGCTGCAGAGTCTATAAGCTGCTGTCTATTGTAAACATGATCATATCTTTGTTTATTTTCTTGCAGGAGCATCACTGTTTGAGGATTAAATTACTTGGAGATTGTTATTACTGCGTGTCTGGTGTTCCTGAACCACAACGTGCACATGCCCAACATTGTGTTGAGATGGGCTTGGCTATGATCAACACTATTAGGTAAGTTTTTTTTTTTTATTGCCTGGAAAGATCAGAAACACATAATTCTATCCAACAATTCATTTGCAATATTAGATATTTACGCAAACGGATGAACTTGGACATGGATATGAGGATTGGGATCCACTCAGGGTCCATTCTATGTGGTGTTCTTGGCCTACAGAAATGGCAGTTTGATGTCTGGTCTTGGGATGTTTGCATTGCTAATATGCTTGAGGCTGGAGGTGTGGCAGGGTAACTATGAACTTTGTTTTATTTGCATCATGATTGTTATAACGGGAATCTAGTTGTTGCTGACCTAAACATAAAAGATCAGGGGTCTCTAACATTTTTTGATTGGAGAGCTACTTTTATGGTAGAGAGCTACTCCTTTTAGTAGTCATAATACAATTGTAATTTTAATCATGAAGAACACACATGCATAATATACCATGATATTGTACAGTATCCCTGCATTAAAGAAAAGATTTATAGTTAAAACAGACACTAAAAAGTGAATAATTCAGCATCATGTGGTAAATTCTTGAATCCTTTGGAGAGATACCTGGAAGGGCTTGGCAAGCTACTGGTTCCCTACCAAGCCAAAGGTTGGAGACCCCTGGAATAGATAATAGAGCAGACATTTAATGAGAGAGAGAGGCTCCTCTCAGCAGCCTCAGCAGCAGACTTCTGCTTCATGTTGTTGTCAGAGAGAGGGTATAAAAACAGAGAGAGCCTCCAGTGAGAGACAGCCACATATCTATCAGCCACATGTCACGCTTGATTGGTCAGCCAGTGGTGGCCCCCAAGGGACAGTGATCATTTATAGCAAGACATTAATAGTTGAGTTTGGTTCTCAATGCTCTTTCACTATTCTACCAGACGAATCCACATCTCTCGAGCGACGTTGGATTGTTTAGAGGGTTTGTATAAAACTGAAAATGGTCATGGCCAAGAGAGGAACGACTTCTTACGCAATCACAATATCGAAACATTCCTTATTCGCCCTGAATATGAAGACATGAACATGAGCTCTACGCCTAAAGTCAGGACAATTAAAACCTGGAATCCAGATGCACCGTTGGGAAAAGTGACAGACACAAATGGGGTAAGTAAAGTTTTGACTCTTCATAATCTCGTTGTGATGTTTTCGTATTTTAGAGTTTGTAATATCTCATGCGTTATAGATTCTGGCTTCATTTACAAATGGATCACTAACCAACGTCTGGCAGTCCACCTCCAAAGAGATTATCAAAAGGATTAAACATGCTATAGAGGTTCGCAGCAGTGACCTTATGCACATGGAGCATATCACACAGTTGACCCTCGTCTTCAAGAACAGCCATATAGAGGAAAAAGTGAGTTTGTATACAAATCATAGGTTATAAGGAATTTCTCATACACTGAAGTGGTTTTAATATATATTTTCTATGCTATCAAGTTTTCACAGATGAGAGATGAAATGTTCAACTCCAACTTGGTGTGCTCATTCGTGATGCTGCTGTTTCTCATGTCGGCTCAGGCTCTCATCCCTGCTCCAAGGTACAGGCCCCATGTTTGTACGCGTGGTTCCCAAACGTTTCGCCCTGCGTACCCCCTCGACAGCGTGTTCAGGGCACAAGTCAAATGTTTCATGTACAGTAACTCATTCTGGTCCAGGCCACCACAAAGCTCCAGAATTTTTGTTAATTCAAGTTTGTATAATCAAGTCAATTAAAAAAAAAATTGTATAGCCCTATATCACAGCAGTCGTCTTGGAGGACTTTACAAGGCCATTCACCAACAAGAGATCAGAGAATCAAACACAGGAAATGCAATAATAATGAAAACATATAGAGCCATTGGTCCATATGAAGAGGGATGACCATAAATGTTAATAAATATCCTTAAATGTCTAGAATCATCAGTGTTCTTAGACCCTCCTGAATATATATATATATATATATATATAAAAAAGGAAATTAAATAATCAATAGTATAGTAGGTTTTCTGACCAAATTATGACTTTTATTTTTTTGATTTTTATGCGCAAAATGAGCACATGCTTGGACTGAACTAGCCTGGCCTTGACTTGTATGAAGTGATATTCGTACGATGGTGTGGTAAGACCAGGCTAGGACTGAAACTAAAACTGGACCAAAATTAAGAAAAGCTTGTTACATACCAATTACCATTATTATTATTATTATTATTTTCTGGGTTCAATGTTTAGATCTTTAGAGAATTAGCTTTCAAACAATGTATAACATGCCATGGGCCGTATACAGTAGTAGCCCATATTGACGTCTTATTATAAATTAGTTTTACCTTCAATAATACTATGTGCCTGTGTATCCCTGGTTTCCCTGGTTTCAAACACCAAATGCAGAATGAGTTTCTTACATCATTTTTTTTGTCTGCAGGATATCGCCAGCAATCCACCAGTTGTCTGTCTTTTTATTCGCCTACCTGCTCCTGCTTCTGATCGTTCTGGCCGAGGAGTTTAAGTGGACGCCTGTAGCGCTGCAGCAGTTCTGTTGCTGGATCCACGAGAACAACCGCGCTCGCAACATCCTCACACTAACTGCCCTCGTTCTGAACTTTGCCCTCGCCTCGACTAACATGGTAGTCACGTTGGGTTGAGCGCTTCATGCTGTAAAAAGATTCGATATATTATTCAAAAGTATTGTTTGTCATTCAGGTGTGGTGCATTGTAACAGACAGTGGAGAGAGTATCGTCAGCGACAGGACAGCAGCACTGCCGCTTACAGTCTGCACCTACCCTGAAGTAAGCCAAAAATATATTTATAATAGATTAGTAATTCATTCATTCATTGCAAACGTATGCGTATACCAAAAGACAAAAACAAAATATGATGAAAATAATTAACTGCAGAGGATGGACATTTTTGGTGTTGCTTTCAGATTTTTGTGCTGAGTAGTGTCATCGCCATGGTTACTTGTGCCGTCTTTCTGCGTCTTAACTCCGTTTTGAAGCTCGCCTTTTTACTCCTGGTTGTAGTCATCGATTACTACCTCATTCACACAGCGTTTGCATCTCTCACACGTCAAGACACGCTGCAGAGGTTGGTGCTCAAGAGCTTTAGGTTTCAAAGTGATGGCAGTTAAAGGTGCTTTCCTCAACTGTCCTGGTGGTGCCCCCGCTATCTGTGATGTGAATCTTACAATAGTGTTTGTATTTTCTTGAAATGTCACTCGGTTTGTTTAAATTGTTTACATTCTTCAATTATCAATGATCATTAGCCATTCTCGCCTCTCCACGGATATACTGTACTGTTAGCCGAGAAATTTTAAAGGAAAGTTACATTCATGACAGACATATCCAAGCAAAACAACATTTAGATGAACCACCAGGGCAGATGAGGAATGCACCTATAACCTCTTAAATGAATGACTCAAAGTTGCATTTTGATTGATTCGTGCATGTAGTAAAAGTATATATGGTATCCACAGATCACATCACATCCGAAGAAAGGGAATATCCGTTCTTGTCCTGCTTATGTTTATTTTTGCTGTCTACTACAATGGTCGACAGGTATTGAGAATTTATCACAAGGGAGTTTTTTTTCTCATTTCTTAAAAAATATATACCCATTGCATTGGAATGTTGTCTTTCTAGTGGGAGGCTACAGCTCGACTTGATTTCCTCTGGCGCTTGCAGGCCCAACAGGAAGTACAAGACATGAAAGAATTGAGGGAACATAATGAGAGTCTGCTGTATAATATTCTCCCTGTCCACGTAGCAAGACATTTTCTGGATCGAAGCAAAAACGATGAGGTAATTCTCTTTTTTCCTTGTTTAAAAAAAAAAAAAAAAAAGCTGTGATACCTAACTTTTAAACAATAGAACTAAATGTGATGACATTTTTCTAACTAGATAACTCCGTTTAGTTCTGTCATTATTTTTCACACGTATAGATTGTGGGCCTCGATCAGACGGAAATGTGAATCAAATTAGAGGACCTCTCACACGCAGCCAATCAGCTCTGCTTTGGACCTGCTTTAGTCCAGCTTTTGTCCTGCTTTAGGCCTGCTTTGGACCTGCTTTAGTCCAGCTTTTGTCCTGCTTTAGACCTGCTTTAGACCTGCTTTAGTCCTGCTTTAGTCCAGCTTTAGTCCTGCTTTAGACCTGCTTTAGTCCAGCTTTTGTCCTGCTTTAGTCCTGCTTTAGACTTGCTTTAGTCCTGCTTTAGTCCTGCTTTAGGCCTGCTTTAGGCCTGCTTTAGTCCAGCTTTTGTCCTGCTTTAGACCTGCTTTAGACCTGCTTTAGTCCTGCTTTGGTCCAGCTTTAGTCCTGCTTTAGACCTGCTTTAGTCCAGCTTTTGTCCTGCTTTAGACCTGCTTTAGACCTGCTTTAGACGTGCTTTAGTCCTGCTTTAGTCCTGCTTTAGGCCTGCTTTAGTCCTGCTTTAGTCCTGCTTTAGTCCTGCTTTAGACCTGCTTTAGTCCTGCTTTAGACCTGCTTTAGTCCTGCTTTAGTCCAGCTTTAGTCCTGCTTTAGTCCTGCTTTAGACCTGCTTTAGTCCTGCTTTAGACCTGCTTTAGTCCTGCTTTAGACCTGCTTTAGTCCTGCTTTAGTAGCTTTACCTGCTTTAGACCTGCTTTAGTCCTGCTTTAGACCTGCTTTAGTCCTGCTTTAGCCCTGCTTTAGTCCAGCTTTAGTCCTGCTTTAGTCCTGCTTTAGACCTGCTTTAGACCTGCTTTAGACCTGCTTTAGTCCTGCTTTAGTCCAGCTTTAGTCCTGCTTTAGACCTGCTTTAGTCCTGCTTTAGTCCTGCTTTAGTCCTGCTTTAGTCCTGCTTTAGTCCAGCTTAAGTCCTGCTTTAGACCTGCTTTAGTCCAGCTTTAGTCCTGCTTTAGACCTGCAGCCCAAAGGGTCAAAAAGTGACTCACAGGGCTCTTTCTTACATGCAAAAGATGACATGTTTTCTGATCTAATGAAGACTGATTCACAATATTTTACTTTTACAAAACTTTCTTTCTGTCTCTCAATTGGTTATTTATCAAACAAAAACAGGTTAGGTACCCCAGCTTTAAGGTAGGAGAACCCTGTTTTATTCTAATCGCTTTCATTTGATTTTAGGAACTGTACTCTCAGTCATACGATGAAGTCGGGGTCATGTTTGCCTCAATTGCTGGATTTGATGATTTCTTTGAAGAGAAAGAGATCAAGCATGAAGGAGTGGACTGTCTCCGACTTCTGAATGAAATCATTTCTGGATTTGATGAGGTGTGATTATCTTTAAATATAGATGGAAAAATTACTAGTCTTACAGGTACTTAAGTAAATGCTAGTATAAAAATCCTAAAAGCATTGATATAATTCGCTTACTTAAGTTAAAGTGTTAAAGTCAATGCCAAAGTAGAATTTCAGTGTTGCATCACAAGTTACAGAACAGTAGGAATGATGATTGTATAATAACTATATACTAAAAATAAATAAAAAGAAGCAGTATATTAAATAAAATCTCTATCTTTAGCATGATGAAGAAGCAAGACTTAAGTACAGTGCTGTATATTCTAGTGCAAGTAACATATAGTTGTGACTAAGTAAACATTACTTTATTAATTAATTAAAGAGTAAAGGTAAAAAGTTGTCAAGAAAAAAAGTAGTAGTAGATACCAGGGGAAAAAAACAATTGAGAAAAGCTGTTGACATTCTCGAACATTTTGTTGCCAAGTTGCTAGAAGAATCCTACTTCCAGTATGTGGAGAAAATCAAGACCATTGGTAGCTGCTACATGGCGGCTTCTGGCCTGGCTCCAGACAAACAGGTGAGCCTTCAGGTGGACCAATGCCCTCCGTTTTCTCTGTGGTACTTCTGCTGAACTGCCCCCTCTACACTCTGCAGACACACATGGACGAGTGGAATCACCTGAGCGAGCTGGTTTTGTTTGCATTAGCCATGGACGAGACCCTTAAAGAGATCAACAAACACTCAGCCAAAGACTTCAAGCTTCGTGTGGGTAAGTGTGATTGGTTTTCTGTATAGCACAGTTCATACACAAGGATAATAATATAAAATATATACACCTAAATCTTAAACAATCAAATCATAAAGACTGAAGATTACAATCCTTCAGTTGTATGCACAGCTAAACAGAACTGTTTTAACCTGGATTTGAACAGTAGAAGGTAAAAATATATTAAATAAGGCTTTAAATAGGTTATATTGAAAGAATGAAATCGCACAAATAACTTAGTTGATATAATTATTTTTACCACTTTTCTTCCTCTTTCCATAATTCCCCTGACTGCACGTCACTGGTAAACAGTATTATGATGGCAAGGAATGACACTATAATGATCATTATTATTACCCTACACAGTCTACGGGCCGTCACATTAACTCGAGAGCGTCCTCTACTGGCGTTACAACACATTACACTCTGACACAACAACAGCAACTCTTTCTTGACAGCAACTACATTCATACATTCATTTAAAAAAAGACACATAGACTTTTCAAGGCTTCATCAACCCAATAAGCCAGATTAATTATATAATATATGTTTATAATATAAGTGTATAAATATATATATATATATCTACATGAATGAGTTTACATGAGAATATTTGCCGAATGAAAGATATAAGACAGACTTTATTGATCTCACACTGGAGAAATGTACACTATGTAACAGCAGTTTCCCCAGGTATACATAATATGCCCATATTAGACCAAATAAGGGTTTTCCCATAAGCATATATTTTTGGTACATTTGATAAAGAATAGAATATACACCAATTTAAGGATGGTGTAGTTATGATGATCCCTATTGCCTCAAAAGTAAATTAAACTAATTCCTGAAAAACATCAATCCATCTGTTTGAAGCTCTAACAAGGACCATTTCTAGAATAATTACTTTAACTGAGATGAAAATTGGATAATCTAATTATGAAATGTTTTATATGTCAGGTTCACTTGTCAAGTCTTGAATTCTTCTGCGTTGTGTCTTCCAATCACAAGTTTCAGCTTTAATGTCCAGCATTCAGCAATCCAATTCAGTCCAAATTATGTCCATGCAAAGAGGATGATGGTATTGTGGGTGGATGGTCCATTTCTCAGCAGCGTTCAGTAGGCCTGATTGGAGTCAGGGGCTGTGCAGATTGTCCAAAGTGCACTGATCAGATGCGTGGTTTCTCTTGAAGTTGTCTTAAAAATAAAAAAAAATAAAAAGTCTTCTGTAGATGTTAGCTCTTTAGGCAATCCGCGCATCCTCCACCAACTAAAGAAAATTACACGGGGGGAAATTATTTAATTTCAAAACGACGAGACCAAAGATTTTCAGTGTCCAATGCAAGTCACTTTAAAGCATGGATGGATGAATCGTAGCCAGTAGCTTCAGGCTTTCAGATAATCAAAATATTCAAGTGGAAAATAACTGAGTCCTGCATATACTGTTAGAAAGATGAGTTCAACTTTAACCGCAGTTGCTTAAAAGTGTAATAACATAGCCATACAGGTAATGCTAGATGTTTGATTCAACCCAGAACTTTAATATGGATCTTATATGTTATACTACATTTCATTCTAATTGCACTGTTGTAATATGTCTATATACTTTTGACATTTCAAACTTTTTCCATTTTAATTTCTGTAAGTAATTTCTGGATCATAAAAAAGGTTATCTAAGTCACAGTCTACATATCAAACATCTTGAAATGAAGCTAGAATGTTAAGTTGTTATTCATGTAAAAAGAAGATTATCACTATGCTATCAAATATCGCGTCGATTTCTTAGTATCAGAATCGAGTTTGTGACTTTAGTATCGCAAAAACACAAACTTACACATGTTTATTTTAAAGGTATTGCTCATGGACCAGTGATAGCGGGAGTGATCGGAACCACCAAGCCACAGTATGATATTTGGGGGTCAACTGTTAATCTAGCCAGCCGAATGGACAGCACCGGGGTGAGTGGACGGATTCAGGTCCCAGAGGCCACACGCAAAGTCCTGGCAGAGTGGGGCTTCGTCCTGGACCTCCGAGGGGAGATCTTTGTCAAAGGGGTGAGTTACTGTAAAATGGTGGTTATTATTATTTATTTGATGGCTTTTCAATAAATGTAACAACAAGTGTTTAGAGCAAAAGGTGCATTGCTAATAGTGCCCTGGTGACTTTCTTTTTCCACGGTTCAATATCTTCTTGTGTTTGCTTGTAATGTCGCTCAATGTGGTTTAAAACCAGTGGGGGAGGGTCCCAGCTCAAAAGTGGCCAAAATGACGTGCGCTGACATGCTTGCAATACCACCCCGGGCCGATGGGGGTGGACCCAGAAGAAGAATTAGCCAATGCTAATATATAGCGTTGGCAGACCTCTCAAAAACGTCTTTACAGGATGGACCAAAAGTTGGCTCTTGGCCCAAAGCTCCGTTCCACATGTGTGTCAATGCTGAGGGGGGTGGATTTTTTTGGTCCACTCTAGTTTACTTGCTGTGAATTTTTGAAGTCTTTCATTCAAATGAATGGAGCTGCTCCGGCTGACGCATGAGCAGATGCGTTTTTTCCCAATTTTCTTGTGGGCGGGACCACTCGCGGCCATTTTGGATAGCTCCAGTAGAGCACATTTTTTGGCCCATTAGTTAGAACGGCGGAGATAGGCGTGACTCTGTCCATTAATATATACAGTCTATGTTTAAAACATGTACGAGTATTTGACACGGTATTTGTCAAGAAGAAGACACAGTGACACCTAGTGGTTGAAAGCAGGCATCTCAAAATTACAATCCCACTATCAAATAAATTGATCTACTTACAATTTAATATTCACGATTCTTTAGATATTTTATATTATATTGAGTGTGATGGACACCCTGACCAGAGAATATACAGACACTGGTTGCCACTGGCCACAGGGGCCTATATCAGAATCAACCTTTTGTATTGTCTTTCTGAGTAACAGGAAGTCACAAACGAGTTATAAAAGTAAAAATATAATAAGGCAAAAAAAGAAATAAAAGTTAAAAACTGCTGTAAACAATAAACGAGTTGGAGAATTCTCTTGAGAACTCATTTGAGAATTTCTAGACACCATGTTTTGTATGTATATTATTGTAATCATAGACCATTTTGTTGCACACATTCCCCTGGAGTCTGACTCATCATATTCCCTTCTTGTCGTTGCAGGTGAGTGAGCACCAGGGTAAAGTTCGAACGTACTTCATCAGCACCATACGCCACAAGACGGCCAGCGTCTCCATGTTTGCTCGCTCAGGAAGAGATCGAAAAACAGAGCGGATAACTTTGGCTGGAGTTGTGTATGGCCTCCTTCAGGCCCGACAAAAAGAGAAAAGCAGAGAGACAAACGGAGGATACGGTCTTGCCTCACCCAGCTTCAATTGCTAAGAAACAAATCTGCTAAAATTTATGTTATTATAAAGTTATAGGCAAACTCGAAAATGTGTTCTTTATTGCCGGCAATGATCTAACGACTCGAGGGTTTGGGACTCTGAGAGCTGCACATTTTTATTTTGCTATAAACAGTTTAAATAATGTTGTTATCAACTGAAGTCAACAGTTCATGGATCACAAAGCCAAAACACCACAGAATACCTCATTTATACTAATTTAACCTCAAAATGCATTACCAATGGCCTATGCAGCACTTTTTTAAACACCCATTTCACACAATGTCTTTTGTTTTGTCAACTGCTTTAAGCTACTGTGTGAATAAGCTCAATCCAGGTCTGTTCTTTTGCACTAATGCAAGATAATAAAACTTTCAAATGTGTTGGTCTTTTTCAACTTCAAAAGGAACTAAACTAGAAAATAGAATGAGCCTCACATTTCTCATTTTGCTCATCAGTTATAGAGTTGGCTATAGAAACATCTGTAATGGTTTGTTGTATCATCTATGCTGGTTAGAGCACAGGTCACAATAGTTGGGTTTCCTCAGTTGAAGCCAATCATGAAGGAGTGCAGCTTCTTGTATGCATCACCTGGGCCTGTGTCTCATTCACTTACGTTTGTTTAGTTCCACTTAATATAATAACAATATTCTACAATACTAGTTCTACTACTACTACTACATAAGTAGTAATTGCACTCACTGTAGAAGGATGTAATATACAGTCTATAGTTTTACTTTAGTTATTTTGTTTAAATTGAAACGTACAAACGATAATACAACAACAGTTATTCATCTTTTATAACTTAAAAAAATAGGCTTAAAGCTCAAGTTAAAGTATCATTAGGGTTGGACTTTTGAATTGATTTATGTTTTTGTTTAAGTGATATTTTCCGATAAATATTAATTCATTCATTCCTACTACCACTGACTGTCAGTATTAAAACTAGTACCAGCCATAGAACTACATCACCAGTGTTGCATCTGTGTTTCTTTTCTAGGCTCGATTATTCATGACTGAAGCTCGCGCGGGTATATTTCGCATAGATCGTTAAAGGAACATGACGAATGTGTGCTATGTTTCGACACTTTCATTTCAAATGCATTTTAATATACTACCGGTGACTTGGAAATTTAGCAGTTAATAAAAACAAAAACAAATAGACAGGGTTAATAAATACAAAACAAACGGGAGCGAGAGCAGAATATGCACCTGAAATCCCATTGTCAGACCGCGGTAAAGTGGGCTGGCTTTTCACAGTCTGTGGTAAAGTGGTCCGCAAATTTACAGCGGGTGGTCCTTTATGCTGTTATTTACGGTAAAAGTGGAACGGGAATCCGCGGAGATAAGCCGTCAAAATTCACTTTGTAAAATGAGTTTAGCGAATACTTTCACTGCACACTTGTTCACTGTGATGCCCTCTACTACTGTGCAAAGTAGCATTAACTTTTACTTTTAAAATTAATGTCAAAGTGTGCACTTTTTTAATTTCATTTGGAAAAAATCAAAATTAGTTTTGCGACTAAGTTCACTGTGAGGCCCTCTACTACTGTGCAATGTAACATTCACTTTTACTGTGGAAATTTTAAAAAAAGTGTTGTCAAAGTTTGCAATATTGGGCAAAAATTCCCTGTTTAAAAATTTCCTGTGTAAAATTTCAGAAAGAGGTTTGGTTGTACAAAATGTTCAAAATTCAATAAAAAAGGATCCGTTAGGCCCTGGGACATGTGCTGCTACCGACTACCGCTGCACTTATGCTTACCTGGCCATACCACCTTAAGAATGCCCGATATAGTCTGATCTCGGAAGCTAGACAAGTTTAGGCTTGGAATTACTTGGATGGGCCTAGCCCCCTTACCATAACCCTAAATTAGGGTTAGGGATTGAGGGTTAGGGGGATTTGTTTAGGGTCCACACCCCCAGAGACAAGCCCCTATGCTGGGGCGAGCACCTCCACCTCCGACCTGGTCCAGGTTAGACCTATGCACCAGTCGGAATTTGGAAATGATTACCCAGCCTTTAGCACCCCTCCTCGGACTGGACCCTTAGCACAGCCAGTAAAACCTGTGACAACACGCAGAGCAAGAAGGTAGTTGCAAACGTCTTTCAAATAAAGAAATAAATAAAAAAAGGTAAAAGTGCAATTTGGACCAATATTGCACACTTTGACCCCACTTTTTTTGGAATTTCAACAGTAAGAAGTGAATGTTACTTGGCAAAGTATTAGAGGGCATCACAGTGAACAAGTGTAAAGTATTCGCAAAACTCTTTCAGATTAAAACAAAAATAATAAGAACTCTGGCGGCTAATACCCGAAGCTTCCCTTTCCACTTTTACCGTAAGTGCCAACACAAAGACATCCCCCACTTTTACGTGCGGGTATTGTGAGTGTGTGTTACGGTCACTATGGCAATGCCTGTCTTATGGCTTTGAACATCTGTGTGTGTTGTCTCTTGCCAAGACCATAGATCAACGGCTTACAATAAAGATCAATGACCCAGATGCATAGAACTATAACACTAATCCATGCTCAGACCGACAGAGTGAGAGGTCTGTCCCTGCTCCACACTCTCTCCGCTCAGACACGCGGCGGGCTCGTCTGTGGTGGACTTGCAGTGATTGTTGTTGCTCCTTTTCTCTTTCTGCACAAAGTTTCCCTCTCCGTCCATCCGCTTGTTTCTCACCGTGTTCTCAACTATGGCTGACTCACAAGAGGACAAGCTCTACACGGCGGAATATGCTAAAAGCGGCCGTGCATCGTGCAAGAAATGCAAAGAAAACATAGCTAAAGACTCGCTGCGGATGGCGATCATGGTGCAGGTAATGTAGCAGAGTTTCGACGTGAAGGATCATCCGAATGGGCGTGTAACATATTCAGCATATCCTCCTGCACTTTATCATCATAATGCATATATTTCAAAGCACGAAGCGTAATTGTTATTGTTTTGTAACGCTATTGTGTCTGTATAGTGCAGACGGGCCTCGTTAGCATTAAATGGCTGACTCTTCCCACTATCACAAAGAAACACAGGCTTTTATCCTCCTTTTCTATTAGCTAACAAGTCCGCCTATGCTATTGGATATGATCAACCCTTTACTGATCTCTAACTTCATGCACTGTCTTGTTTTGTAGTCGCCCATGTTTGATGGGAAGGTGCCCCACTGGCATCACTTCTCCTGCTTCTGGCAGCGTGCAGCGGCTCACTCCACTGCAGACATTGGGGGGTTTTCTGGACTCCGCTGGGAAGATCAGGAGAAGATCAAGAAGGCTGTGGAGAGTGGAGGGGCTGTCTCAGGTCAGTCCAACCCTGAGCTTTCCTCCATAATGTTCAAAAGCTTGTCAGATTTGCCCAATACAACTTTTTAGTTTTTCTCCTGGATATATGCGCTTCACACTCCTTACATTGATATAAAAGTCAGGTCGGGCTGTAAAAAGTAAATCGATGAATTGCCACTAATCCTTCATTGAAATTGTTGTCAACTAATTTGGTAAGGTTTTACGTTGTCTATGTACAGTCTTTGAACCTGACATAGACTTAAACAAGCTGAGAAGAAGTTTTATGACTCGGATAATGACTGCAGAATGAAATGTGTTTACAAAGTATTATCAATCAAACAACCCAATGTGTAACAAATCTTTTCTATGAAGATCACTTGTGGGTTTTTTTTTGTCTCGAGTAATTAAACCATCACAGATTCACCTTCCTTTTGGGATAAACTCAACTAATCAAATGAATAAAAGTCCAACTAATAAATTAATTAGAAGAATGAGATCAGACTGATCTGCAGGTTATAAAACACAGTGGAACAGTAAATATTGTAGTCTGCAATAAAAGTTGTTTTAATGACACTAGGCCTTCTTCGGGGCTTAATTAAGATTATATAAAAGAATAATAATAATAAAGCTCTAAAACAGGTTTGCAGTGGTTAGCCATACTTCCAAGTGAATCAATTCTTCATGATTAGCCACGGTTCTAAGTTTAGGAAACCTTTCAGCTTAAGAATTGTTTGTCATTTAGCTTGTTCTTTTATACTTTACTTAAATGAATGAGGGTTTAAGGACCCTGTGTTGATGACCCAGGACATTTATGGACATATATTAACATTTATGGTCATCCCCTCCCTACAGTTTATGACTCCTATGTGTTTTCTTTATTTATTTTTTTAACTGTTTGATTCTCTCATCTCTGGTTAGCAAATAACAACTCTGTAAAGTCCACCAAGACGACTACTGTTGTGATTTAGGGCTATAAGAAAATAAATTGAATGATGGCAACGCTCTGATATTTATCAAATGTTTGCACTAGAATCTATCCACTGTTTACCTGAGTACCTACAATTAGTACTTTTGCCACCTCTGAAAGCTCTCCCCATAAAGTCTAACAATTGTATTGCTCTCACTGAAGGAGGAAAAGGAGACACTAAAAGTGCTGCAAAAGGAGAGAAAACCCTCAACGACTTTGCGGTGGAATATGCCAAGTCCAACCGCAGCACATGCAAAGGCTGCGAACAGAAGATTGAAAAGGTTTGCAAAGTCAACTATTAATTTTGCTCAATGCTTTGGGCCCATGTGTCGTGAACAATGCGCTCTTTCATCCCAGGACCAGATCCGCGTGTCAAAGAAAACGGTGGATCCAGAGAAGCCTCAGCTCGGCCTGATCGACCGCTGGTACCACACCAGCTGCTTCGTGAGCCGCAGAGAGGATCTGGTTTTCAAGAGCGAGTACAGCGCTGCGCAGCTGAAGGGATTTGCTGCGCTTCGAGCCGAGGACCAGGCGGAGCTTAAAAAGAGGCTCCCTGCTGTCAAGTCAGAGGGGTGAGAAGCCGCGTGATAATAGCACCATGGCTATTCAAATGGCACCATAGAAAGTTGTTGTCTTTTCTTTTTAAGAAGACAAATGTGAGATCTACTTTTTAACCCATGTGCTATCCTCAGGTTAAATTGACCCACAGCAGTGATTTAAAAATGCTCTAAATAAAATAAAAAAATAACTGAGCTGAATTTTGATGGTTTTAAACATATTTTAGGGAATTTTCCTTCTACTTTTTGATCTCTACAATGACCCGAGGGAAGCACAAGGGTTAAACTGGTTACAAAATTATTCCCTCATCAAAAACAGACCTGAGGTTCTCTCCATCCTAATATTTAGAAACTTCTGGCTAAAACATGGCGCAACTTAAAGTGGCGGCTGTAAAGTGTCAAACTGTCATTGTGTCCTTGTGTCCTTAGGCAAATCCCCCACATTGCCTAGTATGAGTCAGGTGTGAGGGGCTGATGGCACATACCCGTTGCCTCACTTCTGTCAATGTGCCTTCAGGCTGCAGTGGCTACAGAAGTGGTTTATCAGCACTCTATATGAAGTGAACGAATATTGCCATGTATGTCAAAAAAACGCTATGTAAAATCAAGGCATTAAACATGTGATGTTTTTATAACCCTATTACCTCCAATATTAGTTTTTGAATATTATAATCACATAATGCGGAGAGCAATGTTTTTTGGACGGGATATATTTTATTCTTACGCTATTATTCCTCATTTAATAACATGACATGGCAAAGTATAAAGACTGATTTTGAATGGTCAGAAATAATGCATGATATTTCTCCTTCAACTTCCTGGCGTATACGTTTGTTTCATGATCCAATACTGCTGTCACTCTCGCTGCTTCTCACCGGTCGACAACATAAAAATATAGCTTTAAACGTGTTTCTGAACGCAGTCATCGTAAACGCATAGAGGAACGGGTTGACTACAGAGTTGGCGTGCGAAAGAATGATGGCAGCGAGAAGCAGCTCAAAGGGAACAGAGCAGTGCGGACACAGCAGCAGGAAGCAGTTGATCACATGTAGTGGGATCCAGCAGATGGTGAAAAGGAACAGGACCAGAAACACGGGCAAGACAGTCTTTATCTCCTTGCGAAGCCCGGCCGCCATGGACCTTTGCACCTCTCCTCTTCTACTGTGCGCAAAGGAAATCCGCCGCATTTGATTCTTGACTGTGGCAAAAATCTGCGCATAAATCAGGAACATGATCACCAACGGGGCAAGCACGCAGGCGAAGAAGTTGAAATAAACCATATAGGCCATGTCCACCACAGAAACGAAGAAACAGTAGCCTAACTCCGGAGGTGTCTTGTGCCAGCCCATGAGCGGAATCAGACCAATGAGGAAAGCAAGCAACCAGGTTAAAAGAATGATCAAGATGGCGTTCCGTCTCGTCATTAGCGTCTGATAGCGGAAAGGCATTAAAATGGCCAGGTAGCGCTCCACCGCAACCGCAAGTAGGCTAAAAATGGAGCTCTGGGTAAACATGATCAACACACTGAGCATGAGCAGACACAGGGGCAGGTTGTGATGCGGCAGCCCGATGTCCGTCAGGATGGCACACGGGATGGCGATGGAACCCACGCAGATGTCCGCCACCGCGAGCGACACCAGGAAGTAGTTGGTGACCGTCCGCAGCTTTTGGTTGATTCCCACAGCGGCACAGACCAGTACATTACCGACTGTCGATAAAAAGGCAATGATCAACTCCGCCGTCATGTACGCCACGTTTGGGGAGATGGTCCCGGACGGCGGAGGTGAAGTGGCGTTGAAGTAGTGGTTGGGTTCGGAAGAATGGTTTTGAAAGTTGGGAAACGGGTTTGAATCTTGTTGGTTTTGTTTTGGCTGGAAACTAAGGACCTTTACCAAAATGTAGCTTTGCATCATTTCTGAAAAAGTATTGAATCTTCTAGTTTGAGTTCTAGTTGTAGTTGGATGTCCTCTTTAAACAAACCCACTAACTTTTTTTGCCAAATTGTTTCCAGGAATAACGCAGGGTCTGTGTACCATACTAAAAGCACATCTGCCTTTTATAAAGTAAACTAGTTATATGTGTTTGTCATGGCTGACCGCTCAAGGGACAGAGCTCTGTTGAATAATAGTCTGTAACGACTGTGGATACGTCCCCAGGTGACTTGGTGGACTTCTCATCATGTCCAGTAGGTGATAATGAAGTGTCTGATGAAGAACATCGACACACCAGAGATTTGCTAAACACGTTCAGGCTTGTTAACCTGGATGTCATTAATAATTGAGCTCCCAAAGACCCTTAAGTGTGGTCATAAACAACTGTGTTTTGTGTTTCTTCTGTCTATTTGACGTTGAGATATTTCCCAAAAGTGGTTGTTAAAAGTTTGGCTATGATTCTTTTTGTTTTTTCAGAAAGAGAAAGGGGGACGAGTTGGATGGAGTTTCAAAAAAGCAGAAGCAAGAAGAGGAAGAGGAGAAGAATAAGCTCGAAGAACAATTGAAGGTATCTTGATTAAAACCTTGTCTTTTCATTCATTTGTGGCTCTGATGTGGATTTATGTGACTCGACAGAACCAAAGTCAGTTGATCTGGGGCGTTAAGGACAAACTGAAGAAGAACTGCTCGGCTAATGACATGAAGGAGCTGCTGATTGCAAACGGACAAGACGTGCCATCAGGAGAAGCTAATGTAAGTGTATAAACAATCTCTTAACATTAAATACATATAAAGGATCTGCCCCAAGCCTAAATGCACAAGCGTTCGTTTACAACAACCAAAAACCCCAAATTCCCAAAACAAATAATTGAGTCCTCCTCAGCTACTTTCCATAATGCACAAAAACGTGTTACTTTTACTCTCAGATATATGCACTTTCTACTACATGCATTGATATTAAAGACAGACAGGGCTGTGACAAGTTAATCCATTTATTCACTATCCAGCTGAGAGCTTCAGTCTAGAATTACAAGCCTTCTCATTTGGTCCATTTGTTCAGTATAAATACCCATAAATAATACCCATACTCATGTTATATAAAGATAAGAAGGTCAGAATGCCTTCATAATGCAAACAACTTTTTCCCCTAACCAGCTATTACTTTTAAAATTCTGATGATATTGAGTTTGAGACTCCTGATTTCTGTCATTCTCCTTGATTTGCACGCATGTTTATTATTCGCAGCTGGTTGACCGTTTGGCCGATGGTATGGTTTTCGGGGCGCTTCAGCCGTGTAAGGAGTGCTCGGGCCAGCTGGTCTTCAAAGGAGACGCATATTACTGCACTGGGGACATCTCGGCTTGGACCAAGTGTGTGTTCAAAACAAGAATGCCTGTTCGCAGTGACTGGGTTGTTCCCATGGTAAGCCTTTCTTCTCTACATTTTTGTTCAAATTTGATTTCAGGGTGGTGAGAAATGACTGTTATTGCCATAGATATATTTTTGATCCCTACATAAGCAAATTCAGGATATGTTAGTTATTGACATTTCAAAACAAAATTTGGTATATAATAAATGTAACATCCTCAAAATGTTGCATTTAATGGGATCCTGGAATAGGCAACTACTAAAACGCACATTAGACTCCAACTTCTTCACGTGTTATATTCTCGCATACGATCACTCATCTCCTTCAGTACATGTCAAGGCCATTAAAGCCTTACATTTTTTTTACCCATTTGTTTTACATGGACTGTTTTGGGTCTAAAAGATAATGCAGCTTCCTGGGAGCTCCCTTCTACAAAGCACTTACAAATCATGGGAATTAATAACGTGTATTTTTTAATGTTTTGTAAATAGAGATGAGTTGAATTGGCTTTGAATGAGAAATATTGCATATTTAAAAGCAATAATGAAAACTCTATTTCTGCACATCACTACGCAATGCATTGTTGGTCCTTCAATGTGCACTGACCCAAATTGTGGGATGTGTAAATCTTTTTTTTTTTTTTTTTTTAAGGAATTTCATGAGGTTCCTTTCCTCAAGAAATTCAAATTCAAGAAGCAAGACAGAGTGTTCCCCAAAGAGGCTCCAGCACCTGCCCCAGCGGATGTTAAAGCTGAACCCAAGGCCAGTGCATCCAGCGCACCAATGGAAGCCATGTTGGAGCCGACACCAGGTGAGACTATGTGCTACAGTTTTATTGAAGAGCGTAAAAGAAGCTAGTATTGCTTAATTGTTGCAGAATAAACCTGCTCAGTCTGACGGTTCTGAACAATCTGTCAGACTGTAACAGCTGTAGACACCATTACATGTCTATACCTTAAACTTAAAGACACTTTGAACATTCTACATTATAAAAGCTTATATTGTATTTCTTTTCTTTTGTGCCAGATAAACCGCTCACTGGACTCAAGTTCTTGACTATTGGCAAACTGACCAAAAACAAAGATGAAGTAAAAGTTGTGGTAGAGGAGCTTGGTGGGAAAATAACTGGGACCGCCAATAAGGCTTCCTTCTGCCTCAGCACCAAAAGTAAGAAAACGGTTCTCCTAGCGGTTTTAGGTAACGCTTCAGAGAAAACGCAACCAACAATTTTGTTTTATATCAATGTTGTGCAGAGGAAGTGGAAAAGATGAGCAAAAAGATGGAGGAGGTGAGAGATGCCGGTGTGCGTGTCTTGGCTGAAGACTTTCTGACGGACATAAAGTCCTCAGGCAAAGCCCTCCAAGAGCTGGTCTCCCTCCACGCCATTTCCCCCTGGGGAGCCGAAGTCAAAGTGGAAAGCAAGGCTGCAAAGTCTGGAGCTGTGCCTGCCAAGAGCACGGGCCGAGTAAAGGAGGAGGAAGGTAAAACGAGACCAGACAATTCAAATGTGTCGCTGGGATCAGGATCAAAACGTTATTCTGTTTTTATTGCAGGCGGACACAAGTCTAAGAAGATGAAACTTACTGTGAAGGGAGGAGCTGCTGTAGATCCAGACTCTGGTTTAGAGAACAGTGCCCATGTCCTGGAGCAGAGCGGGAAAATGTACAGTGCAACTTTAGGACTTGTGGACATCGTCAAAGGGATGAACTCCTATTACAAACTTCAACTGCTCGAGGACGACGTTCAGAAACGGTAAGCAATGAATGTCCTTTTTAAGCCTGTTTAGAGGACTACAAATGCACCTGCTCGAGCTTGTACCCTACTTTTTCCTCATTCTAAATGGTGATGAGTGCTTAACTAAATGTAATAAAGCCACATTTATTGGGCTAGAATTGATCGACTATAAAAAGCCCCATTTCCACCAGACTTACTTGGCCCTACTCTCCTCTATTTAACCCCGATTGGGAGCGTTTCCATCGGCCCTGTTTAACCAGAACCAAGTACTTTTTAGGTACCTGCTTAATCCTGGTTCTACCCAGGTAGAACTGGTACTAAAGTGTTTCTCCGGATTCTGGTTTGTTATAGTTTGGTTGCTAGAATATTTTACAGAGACTAAAGCATAATCGAGTTGGAGTTGAGTAGGGCTATATGGTCTAAAACAACTGTGTATAATATATAAATTTGCAGGATTGATCTATTTCACAATTTTTTATTATTATTTGGGTGGGGAGAATATATGTATATCATTTGTTTATGTTTTCCTCTCAGGTACTGGGTCTTCAGGTCGTGGGGCAGAGTTGGCACCACTATTGGAGGAAACAAACTTGACAAGTTCCATGACAAAAACTCTGCATTGGATAACTTCCTGGTTGTGTACAAAGAAAAGACGGGCAATGACTGGAGTTGCTCTAATTTCACAAAATATCCAAACAAGTTTTACCCACTGGAGATTGATTATGGACAGGTATAGCACAGAAAACAAAACAATTGGATATCTGACTGGGCTGTTTTTGCTGACATTTTGTTCTTGTTAGGATGAGGAGGCTGTTAAGAGGCTAACTGCCACTGCGGGCGTCAAATCAAAACTGGCCAAACCAGTTCAGGAGCTGATCAAGATGATTTTTGATGTTGAGAGCATGAAGAAGGCCATGGTTGAATTTGAGGTGATGTATTTGTCCTTTTAAAACTAAAAATGACTGAATAGTATGGTTGATGAGGAAAAATAATCCCGCTATTTCAACAGATCGATCTCCAAAAGATGCCACTCGGAAAGTTGAGTAAAAGGCAGATTCAAAGTGCATATTCTCTCCTCACAGACGTGCAACAGGTCAGTCAATATTTGTAAAGTTTGACTGTTCTTTATTGCTGATATATTGCTAATGTGTTTTTATGGTTATTTTTGCAGGCTGTAACTGATAGTGTTGCCGAGTCACACATATTGGATTTATCCAATCGCTTTTACACACTAATACCTCATGACTTTGGAATGAAAAAGCCTCCACTTCTCAACAACCTTAACTATATTCAGGTAGGTGCAATAAAAGTGTGTTGCAAATTGTTAATATTTTATCATGTTGACATAATGCTAATGACTCAGTGGTGACGTTTAACACATACATTATAGAGTTACTACAAGTGGGATTTTTTATTTATTTTTTATATAAACCAGGAAGAGGAGTTCTAGCAGAATTTAAAAAAACTGAATATCTAGTGTCAAACGGAACTCTAAAATAATAAATAAACATTTATTCCAATGATTTTAATTTGTTGAATAATTATTTCCGAGTACATCATTACCCAGTTTATTAAATGTAGCCCTAATCACATCCCCGCACTTCCTTGTATCTGCTGTTCACATCAATTCACTGAAGCAGGAATGTTTGCTATGTCGCCAGCTCTGGACATTGACAGCTGATAGAACAGTGTCTAACTCCTTTTCCTGTTCTCTAAGGGGGGCTCTAACAAAAAAAGATACTCTAATGATGTGATCTGCGTTTTGTGAATAGTCCAGTCATGCACACTTTAACCTAAAAGGGGAAATGCTTACAAAAATATTGATGTCTCAACTTTGTCACCTTCAGGCCAAGGTTCAGATGCTGGATAATCTGTTGGATATTGAAGTAGCATACAGTTTGCTGAGAGGTGGCACCCAGGATAATGACAAGGATCCCATTGACATCAACTATGAAAAGCTTCAAACTAAAATTGAGGTTTGTTTCAGAAATAATTTGTATTTGACCCAAAACGTCAAAAAGCTCATTGTATTGTCCGTATGTGCTACAGGTTGTCGATAAGGCTACACAAGAGGCCGATATCATTATGCAATATGTAAAGAATACCCATGCAGCTACTCACAATACTTACACACTGGAGGTGGATGAAGTAAGTGTCAAACTCGTATAGATGGACAAAACAAACTCTGAATTCAAACATCAAATTGTTTTTTTCCTTTTTTAGATCTTCAAAATTAAGCGAGAAGGTGAACACCAGCGCTATCGTCCATTTGAAGAACTCCACAACCGTCAGCTCTTGTGGCACGGATCTCGAACAACTAATTATGCTGGAATCTTGTCTCAGGGTTTGCGTATTGCTCCTCCAGAAGCCCCAGTGGTGAGTCATTTCTTTCCCTAAATGTAGAGGATCATTTTACGGATTTTTAGTAGGGCTTTTACAACAATCATTCTTGGATTTTCAGACTGGTTACATGTTCGGCAAAGGTGTCTACTTCGCCGACATGGTCTCTAAAAGTGCTAACTACTGTCACACGTCACAGTCTGACCCTGTTGGGCTTTTGCTGTTGGGTGAAGTTGCTCTTGGAAACATGTGAGTACTTTAATTATATGACATTATTTAAATATATTCTCTGTGGCTAATAGATGTACCTTTTTTTACAGGCATGAACTGAAAAAGGCAGCCCACATTTCAAAACTGCCAAAGGGAAAACACAGTGTTAAAGGTAAATGAAATTTGATTTATCTCTTCTATTATTGGTGAGAATGATTTAATGGTTTGTTTTGTGTGCACCAGGTATGGGTCGAACTGCTCCAGATCCAAGCGCTACAGTTACATTAGAAGGAGTGCAAGTTCCTTTGGGAAAAGGAGTCGATACAAACATCGAAGACACAAGTCTTCTGTACAACGAGTATCCTTTCAGATGAAATATGTGATATTTAGGTTTACATTTTGAATACTATGGTGGTTATTATGATTGTATGTGAATATAAGTATGTTAATCTTAATGTATAGGTTTATTTTTTGCTCCGTGGTGCCCTACCATACACCAGCATGCACTCTGCTTCCCTTTTATTTCCCCATGATTAAATTCCTATTTATCCATTGTGTTTTGGTTAGGCAAACTGGTGCCCCCTAGTGCCTCCAATTAGTTTAATATAACTCCTGCTACATTTGTTTTAGTTTGACTAAGTCTCTGCTTGCATGCATGTGCTCAGTGTATACACTCATGCTTAGACCTCTTGTCAGTGCTAGCAGTTTATGACAAATGTGGACCTAATTTTGAGAGATTACAGATTGATTTTTTTTAATCTCTGCTTTCGTACAACACATGAAAGCAAACGGAAGGGTTATATTATAGTGTGTATATGTGTATATATATATATATATATATATATATATATATAATATACTAATATTTTTTTGATTAAAAACAAAGACATAACATAAACATCAGGAAGTATAGAACTGCTGTTTGTAGACAAGGTAAGAAGGGAAACTATTGTTATGACATAAAAATTCTGCGGGTGCCTAAGGAAAAAGTGTATACATATTTATTTTAATGTAAGTGTCTTCCTGAACTATTTCCTCTCCAGATACATTGTTTATGATGTAGCACAAGTAAATCTTAAGTATCTTCTGAAGATCAAATTTAATTACCAAACATCTCTTTGGTGAGAAGACCCTGTCAGATGTTCATCGTTCAGACCACGTTCAGACGACGGCCACAAATCCCTCAACAGTCCACGTGGATCTCCAACAACGGTTCTAATAATTGTAATAATTTGCACAGTTTTTCGATGGTCTCAGTGCTTATGTATAGTTGGTCACTTGAATACATTTACTAATAGCTGTGAGAAAGGTTCTTTTGCATTGGTTTCATAATAGGCTCAATATAAAACAAACTCTTGAGTCTCTTCCAGTATGCCTATAAAACTAGCCTATATGTTGATCTTGTGGCCTGTTATAGCCTACTAGTAGTCCACTAGATTTGCTTAATCCAATGTGTCAGTGAATATAAACTAATAGTTGTTTCACATTATTCACTTAAAGAAATAAAGTTTTGGAAAAAACTTGAGTTTTTCTCTTTGGATCAATATATGTGGTATTACCTGCAAAAACTGCATACTACGTCGTGTAGTTGAAGAAAATGTGTTGTCGCTGTCACTTCCGAGCGTGAGGGGAAATGTTCAAAGGTCGTCGAGTCTGGACATTAAGCACAAAGTATGGTGTATTATGATGTGTACATACTTAGACACTGATGTAGGTATGGATATCAATAAAATTATACTTTAGTGGATTCATTCTTTTCTCAAATCGCCCTCCAGAAAGCGTCCCGACCCAGAATGCATTTTGACAAAGTCTTTGAAAAAGCGGCGCGGCTGATTCAAGATGGCGGAGATGGACCAGCTGTTAGACGAGAGTGAGTAAAAATACTCATTTAAAGAGTTCTACTGCGCAAACCTGCAGTACTTTTGATTATGTAAAATGCACATTCAGTTAAAAATTAATCTTATCTTCGTTCCTGGTAATACCCCAGTTTTCAGGCGATGATTACTACATGATTTCTACTTACAAAAACGCACCGGTTTGTCCAAGTGGCTAACGCTTGTTAGCAGAAGGCTAACGAAAGCTAATGCATTTTACTTGAGTCTTTATGGTAAACAAATACCGTAGCATAGCTTAGCTACATGCTAACCTGACGGTTATGTTTGTTTGTCCTATCAGCCTAACTTTAGTGACAATAATTATTGTATTGCGTCTTTATTAAGGACTCCATTGCTCTACTGTATGTTTTGACAGTTTTGTGATACGATTAATGTTAGATAAATTATGATTTACAGCTAACGATTACCGCACTGTGTACATGTTGTCTTTATTCATCCTTGATCAAACATCTCTAGCTACTTAAGGCGTTTAATTAATTTCAGGGCGAAAGTCCACACTACACTTGTTTTAATGTGCTGTGCGTGTTATTGTTTAGTGTGCATGTCTAATCAAGCCCGTGTTTTCCTTTAGGCTCCTCTGCAGAGGCGCTCGTCAGTCTAAAGGGTGAGTACTAGTAGTAGCTAGTATTAATGTGACACATATAGATTTAATAGGTTGGGCTGGGCCTGGTTAACAGTAATTTGATGGTAGACCTTTGGTGACACCAGGTTACATAGCCACGGCTGTAAAGTGCCCAACTGTCCTTGGGCAAGACACTTCACCCACACTGTCGAGTATGAGTCTGGTGTGCGCGTGAAATGATTAGTGGTTAGAGGGGCCTGTAGCACGGATCAGTTAAGCAACCTCACTTCTGTCAGTCTGTCCCAAAACAGCTGTGGCTACAGAAGTAGTTAACCACCACTGTGTATGGAGTGAATTAATAATGTTGTGTCAAGCATCTTTTGAGTGTCCAAAAAAGTATTGTTTAATAAAGCATGAGAATGTAACGAAATACTGAAGAACCTGACAGGCTTGCTTTTACAGCAAGTTAATCAACAATTTCGGATGCTAAATGTCAAATTCACAGCCAAATTAAAATTGGTCAGGCGATGCTAAGATAAGTATATGGTTAACGTGTAAACGTATCACTACCAGTAAAATGAGTATTTTTAAAAAGGCAAGGGAAGTTTTTTTGTATAGCACAATTCCTACACTAATCCTTTCTGAGGACGTTGGAGGATTTCCCTTATAATGGTTGTTCAGTCATCATTCCCAAGCTGTGTTCATTTGTAATCCACCCATTAAATTTACTATTTGCCTTGAAACAGGTTGATGTTTTGTGTGTGTGTCGTCTTGCAGAGGGTAGCTTATCCAACTCGCTGAATGAGAGAGCTCACAACACCCGTGGACGTCAGTCATCTCTTACAATGGACACAGTAGGCAACATTTTACTTTCTTTTTAGCTCTGACCGGACTCAAACTTGATATTGTATTTGATTCATATCTGGCAAGTGTTATAGATGAAAAATCCTTTTATTCATCCCATAGTGGGGAACTGTTGGTGTTGGGTCACATTATACAGACAGTAGGAATGAAGACCAAACAAAAAGTTGGCTTAATTATATAACTATAATATACTCTTGCAAGTAATCTTCAGTAAGTTCACTTACAGAACAATAGTGACTATAGTGAACACTTTTAGTATACCTTTCTTTCTATACTTTCTTCACATTATTACACTTTCATGTATTCACATATTAATGGCATGTACAGGCTCAGCAGTTTGCATTGATATATCATAATAACCATAATCATGTCATAATAACATGTTGTATTTATACAATGTTTTTTTTATAGAATTTACAACTGCAAATGTATGTGTTTTCTATCATTATTATTTCATACATGGTTTTTACAGCTGTCTATACTTTGTACTTTCAGCCAACTCGAAGTTCAAAAAGAAGCCGTTTGTTTCGAGATGAAGATGAACAGCCTCGTCTTCCTTCCCGATCTCCTCGCAGAAGCCAGAGAGTTTCCACAACGCCACAGGTAAGATTCAGTGTAGTAAAAATGTATTCCTATGATTCATGTTTCTATGATGCATGTTGATTTATTTCCTCTGACACTCTGGATGTATGATTTACAGAAATTTTCAAATGTGACACCAGACAAGAAAACATCACAAAAAATTGGCCTGAGATTGAGAAATCTGCTCAAGCTCCCCAAAGCTCACAAATGGTGCATCTATGAATGGTTTTATTCCAATATTGACCGGTAAGACTTAGTAGTAAATTATTTGATGTGTATGTTAAATTTAAAACTACATTTATTTTACTCCTTTACTTTTTTGTTTAGACCCCTGTTTGAAGGAGACAATGAATTTTGCCTTTGTCTCAAAGAATCCTTCCCAAATCTCAAAACGAGAAAATTATGCCGGGTTGAATGGGGAACAATCAGACGACTAATGGGAAAACCTCGCCGGTATGTTTGATCTGAGTTATGACCTTTTTATTTAAAAGTAAATGTAACTAACTGTTGTCCTGTAATGTAGGTGCTCCTCTGCATTTTTTGCTGAAGAACGAACCGCTTTAAGGCAGAAAAGACAAAAGATAAGATTACTGCAACAAAGCAAACTAACAGATATCTCTAACTGCAAAGACCTCCCAGATGAAATTCCCTTGCCACTAATTATTGGAACCAAAGTTACAGGTATTCGTTTGAGATTCTGTTCTTATCGCAGTGTTGGTTTTTACACTAATGTTTTATTCATGTTCAACAGCACGTCTACGTGGGGTCCATGACGGTTTGTTCACGGGGCAGATTGATGCAGTAGACACAAGTGCTGCTACGTATCGTGTTACTTTTGACCGCAGTGGTCTGGGAACTCACACTGTGCCCGACTACGAAGTTCTGGTATACATTCTTACTTGTGGAGCTTGAATGACCGTTGAATCTATTGTATCCTACTTTAATTGCATTGTTTACAAATATGTAATTCTTATTTCAGAGTAATGATCCCAATGAGACCATGCCCATTTCAGCTTTTGCTCAAAAGCACAGGTCAAATCGCTTCTTTCACAACATCATGACTCCTCCCAGAGGCCCATATCCACCTGCAACCACTCCAGTTCTTATGGTAAGGTAAAACTGGATGTGATTTTTTTTTTTTTACTATGTCCTGTAGATGTTTATTATAAGCCTATGCTTTTAATTTTAAGGACAATGATGCTCTTCTGGACCAGTCTCCCTGGAAAAGCAAACTTACTGGTGCTGAAGGAGAAACCCTTGGAGGGTTTCCTGTCAAGTTTTTGGTCCAAGTGGTAATTATTTGGATATTACCTTTTTAATAGCCTAGCAACCTGCAACCCTGCAAGTGTTGTCAATTTGGTAACATATATTCTGTATAATTCTATCAGACAAGGCTTTCTAAGATCTTGATGATCAAAAAGGAACACATCAAGCACTTGAAAGAAATGAACACTGAAGCAGAGAAACAGGTGCAGTGTTCATTATTCGATAACTGTGTGATATTTACAAGTTTACTAGTAAAACGTATAATTTGCCTTTGCAGAAATCCTACTCTTTGCCCATTGACCTGGACTTCCAGAAGCGTTATGCTACTACTGTGCTCGAGCTTGAACAGCTCAATAAAGACCTTAACAAAGTATTACAGGAAGTGCAGCAGTTCTGTTGTGAGGTGAGACTAGATCTAACTTGAAAAATCTATTCCTTGTTGTCACTTATTTCACACACTGGTTCTATCTTAGCTTTCTCCAGACCAGGGCTTGGTGCCTGCCGACCATCCTACAGAGCTGCGGCAGCGCTGTGAGGAGGAGGCCCAGCAAATGGTGCAGCTCAGCAACTCGTTACAGGATGGACAGCAGTGGGTGTCCAACTCTAGCCTCACACAACTAATTTCTCGACTCACTGCTCTCCTGCTACAGATAAAGGTAACTTCCATTGCTACTTAAATATCCACGTAACCATGGTCTCTTATGTTCAGTTTAGATGTAGATGTTAATGGATAAATGATGCATGTATATTGCAGTGTCTCGCAGACGGTGGGGACTTGAATGCATTTGAGTTCAAATCTCTAACCGACTCTCTTAACGACATAAAGGCATCTATTGATCCCTCAAACATCAGGTAAACTGACTGATGATGTGGTATTGTTATTCTCATATTAAACCAGCCCTTAAATGTGCATGTATCCTCTCTTTCAGTTGTTTCCAGAATAATGTTGAGATCCATGTGGCTCACATCCAGAGTGGACTTAGTCAACTGGGTAATCTACATGCGTTTGCTGCAAACAACACAAATGCAGTCTGAAGGCAGCTGTTTTGTCACCTCATAGAGGTGTGGTTGTCTAACATCCTTTGGTTGGGAGCTTTTCATCTGAGCTGTCAGAGGACGACAAAAGCCCATGGGACAACTTTGAAAATCAGATGTGTATTATCACAATATCGTCAACTGCCCCTAAGTACTACACACCTATTTTAATGCACATGCTTATTTGCAGTGGTTATTTGTGCCAAGCATTAAGTTGTATATTTTTATAGTACATATTTATTTATTTGAGGAGTTGTATAACTTTATGGGGCAGTGCTTTTTCTATCACTACAGTCCCCCCATGTTAGTTTTAAGTTTAGGAGTGAAGGCTAAAGTATATTTTGTACAATTGTAGATAATTGTAAAATATGTGATTATTTGAATCTTTTGTCAAAATATTTGTTCAGTATCTAGATGTGTTTTGTAATTTTGTGTGCACTGAAAAGAGATTTGATATTTTTCTAAAAGGGTGACCTGGAAATACGTACCTGTTTATCATTATCACATTAGCATGGCTATTGTTGCAAAGTAACTATATTACTCAATAGTTCTGAGGTAGCTGCTCTTCTGTACATGTATATAATCGTCTTCTTGATTTTATATTAAACGTCTTATTCTGAAGTTTTCATAAGATTTTTTATTAACAATTGAAACTTTAGGACATTTAACAATAAATATAGGTTTTCATCTTAACAAATGTTTGCATACAATCTTAACAGTACAATACTTAACTTTTTCTATACAGCTTTGGAGCTGAATTGAGTTTTAACTTGACAAATACCTTAGAACATGTATATAATATATTTATAATTTAAAACTTGTTATTGCACAATATGCCTGGATAATGGAGAACTTCACTGTGCATTACATAAATCCACTAAAGCCAATGATTGCGTCACTTTCCCAATCGGAATCAGAGTCCGAGAAATCCTTGCCCTCAGCAGGATCCAGGGAGAAGTTGATTTCAGGCTGCCTTATCTGGGGATACTGCAGAGGGCAGCTGTTGTCCTTTGGTGGTGACCTGTTGAAGTTGTTCTGGATTGGAATGGGTGGGATTATGACCTTCATCTCTGGTCCAATGGTTTTATTTGGAGGAAAGTTGTCATAGTCCACCTGGTTGTTGCTTGTGATGCTGTTTGTCTGCTGTTGGTTTCCCTTGAGGTAAAGGTGGACGTTGTAACAGGGCACATTGACACTGAGCTCAGGTCTGGGCATCTGCTCTGGCTTCAGTCTGTCGGCTTCTTTGTCATAGAGACATGATGGAGGTGGGTTCTCAAAGGTGTTGACTTTTGTTATTGGAGCTGTATGAGTGTCTTCAGAGCTCTGCTGCACTTTGGGTATGAGGCGGAAGACGGTCTGGTGTGGCTCAGCATTGTGGCTATTAACTGTAAGCACAAATGTTTCAGTTCAAAATGTTTGTTCATTTTTATGCACCACATTGCAACATTTGGTATACCTTTCTGAAATTGGCTGGGATGACTTGATGTAGAAGTGGCATTGTTTGTAGACGCTGAAGATCCAACTTGACGACGCGACTTTGCTCTTCTGTTTTGGAACCACACCTTCAAAATTCAACCAAATACATAAGGTCTTGCACCAAGTCCCAGGCCAGTTATTTATAGCAGTATTTGTTTAATTTACCTGGATCCTTGACTCTGGCAGACCCGTCAGAGCCTCGAGTCGCTCTCGCAAGTAGATGTCAGGGTATTTAGTGTCCGAGTAGACTTTCTCCAACACTTCGATCTGTTGGGGTGTGAAGTTGGTTCTCTTCCTTCTGTGCGTAAGGATTGCCACACATTTCTCTGTCCGTGGTACCGATTCTGTCGAGTTGAAGTAGTTTGATACTCCAGGTGCTCCATAGTCTGTAACATTCCGTCGTATTAGTAAAATAATGTTGCATAAATTACGCACGGTGCATATGTATTTTACATGGATGTAAAGTGTACTAACCGGAGTTGACCAAGGCGTTCATCGGCAGTGATCCTTCGTGATACATCTGGAAGGGGTTCAAGTCTCCAGCTCGTAGGTTCCCGTGGACTGTGGACATTATGATGCGAGACTGACTGAAAAAACACTGGTCTCCGTTTTATACCCGGAGATCAAAGATGAAGGATCCGGGATGTGTGAATGGTTCAGCCATCAACCTCGACTGACACGGAGCGGCCCGCAGACGTCTGCAGGGCCGAGGTGTGAAGCGCTGACACTGGACGGTGTAGCAGCCGCACGACCCTCTAAAGGCCCTAATGGAATCTGCATGTTCAATACACAAGAACAGAGGAAACAATTAGCCGCGTTGGAATGGATCAAACAATAATGGGCCGAAGCGAAGCCTTCAAAGAGCTGAGACGGAGATACTGCTACCTCCCCTGAACACCAGAATGTACTGTTATTTCTCTGAATCAATGAAAGGCGACTATAAAACACAACATGATCTACTAAAACCTGTAGATGGGACATTGCTTTATATAAAGCGCATTTTATAGTTAATGTATACAACTGTACTGATGATGAGGACGCACACGTACATGTTGCTTCATAACATTTTTTTTTTTCGTCCCACGGTGGGGAAATTTCAGTGTTGCATCACACGTTATAACAGTAGGAAAGAGGAGCACACAGCACAAGTTAAGATAAGAGAACAATAGCTATACTAATTAAAATAAAACTAAATCTTTTACTCTAGCATCAATAACAAGTATATAATTGAAACTGTTATACTTGTTATTGATGCAAGAGTTGAAATAAAAAAATAAGGGTAAACGTGTAAATGTTATAGATTACTAGACATGTGCAATTATAAGGGAACTTGCAAACCTAACTAGTAACTTGCAAACGTAACTGTCATCTTCCTAACTACATTATTATTTTCAAACATTAGAATATAATTATTTCTATACAGTTGTGTAATATGGACTATTGTGTGTTATGGACTAGATGAGTATCAAAGTAGTGTTACTCAGATTTAACATTTTAAATACTGCATTATTTAAATTCTATATTATTGTGTTTTTATCTAATTGTAGTTTTCATGCTGACTGCCTCATTTTGTAAATGCTGCATACCAGTGAATATATTGTACAGTTTTTTAAGTAACTTGCCAAACACATCTGTCTGTACAGATTCCTGTATTCCAAAGAGCACAACACGTCCGAGACACATTATGGAGAAGACAGGATTGATCCCAATACACATGTCTGAGTTCAAAAGAAGGCCAAGAGTTGTTTTATAGATTAGCTCCGTTTGGTTCAAACGAAGAGCACGTCAAAAGATCATGTTGGTTTGCACACAAACATCATCAATTCATGTTTGAATATTTATGTGAAGACAAATATAATATTTTGAAATGGATTCATATAGCTTATTCGTAGTGGTTTCCTTTTCTGAGGATTTTTAAATGCTGCCGCTGTCCTTGGCAGTTCAGCGTCTGTAGCAACATCTGCACTTTCCAGAAAGTATGCGATCACATTTTTTCCAATATACTGAATAGACAGTCGGCCTATGAATTGAAGAGATTACTTTTTGTGACTGATTTATTTACTTTGTGTACATAGTTTACGATATTTACATATTTTTGCACCTTGCACTTTCAGTGTTCACTCAATGATTATTTAATATATAATAATAATCGTAATAAGATAAACAGAATGTATACCATTATAAATATAAAGAATGTAAACTGTGCGTGCATTGCGTTCCTCGCGTCCATAGTATGGACTGTAGACTGTAGGCGCGTCATTTTCGTGCCCGGATGTTCCGGTAAGCAAGGCGGAAGTAGGTACGTGGCTGCTTCAGATGACAGTAATGATGGCGACAGAGGTTCAGAGCGGCGACCTCGATAGTGCCACTTCCAGCCGTCTCGAAGTGTCCATCGATGGCCTCACACTCAGCCCCGATCCTGAAGGCGAGCAGACCCAGGCCGAAGAGCCGGAGCCCGGGCATGTACCTCCTGACAGCGTTGAGGCGGACTCCGCTGAAGACGAGGATGGAGAGACGGCCAGATCTGCCATAGAGAAGAAATGGGGCTTTCAACTACACGAGCTGTACGGGATGGCTCTCAAATTTTTTAAAGGTGTGGTCATCTTTTTGTCAAACCGCTTCTGCTGTAATATTATTATTATTATTATTATTATAATATTACTGTTACACGTTTGAAACATGCTACATGGCTAACACTAGCCACTTGCTAACTGTCACCGCCACCACCGCTGTAGTCATACATTAATATTAGTCTTGTATTTTTAAGGCAGCTCCCAAATTCATTTTGAATGGTGCCCCTTTTACAAAAACCTCACCAACCTAATCCAAACTGAGTAACTATAATCTATACAACAAGTTTAGTTGCACGGATTTCCTTCTGGTTTCACCGGGGCTAGGCTGGGCTTTATTTTCCAAACTCAACCATCTCCTTTTAAACAATTTGGTTTTTGGTGTAATGCATTACCACAACATTTAAAACGGTTACATTAATTGTCTGTTTTTAGATAAGGACGGTAAAGCTTTCCATCCAACATATGAGGAGAAACTTCGCCTTGTTGCTCTACATAAACAGGTGTTATTGGGTCCCTACAATCCTGATGCAACCCCTGAGGTTGGCTTCTTTGATGTCCTGGGAAATGACAGGAGGTAACCACAACACGAAAATGCACTAATATATGATATTGAGATTAATGTAAATAATGGATATATGTATATACTTTACAGAAAAGAATGGGCATCTTTGGGTAATATGGAAAAAGAGGAGGCTATGGTGGAATTTGTGAGAATGCTGAACAAATGTTGTACCCTCTTTGCTCCATACGTCATCTCACACAAGATTGAGCGAGAGGAACAGGAAAGGAAGAGGTATGACATTGTATTGATACAAAAAATTAGAAAGTAATCTTAACAATTATGATCAGTTATGGTTATTTTAAGGCTACAATGTGTTACCGTCTATTGACTGAATCATTGACTAGTCGACTACTAGAATAATCATGACACCTCTAGTCAGCTGCGACATAAAGCAATATTTTCCCACAAAGAATAATCCCCTGGATTCTTGTGTACCAGTCCACCTTTGGGTCCGGATCCTTTGACTTATTACAAAATGATGTAAATGTCTGCAGTCAATGCACTGTGTACAGGGCCAGAGCATCACTCCCGTCTCACTGTATGGTAAGGGAGAGATGGAAGCACACGTTCACCTGCTCGTATTGTGCGTGACGAGAGCACATTGGGTGTGAGCTGTGAGCGGAGGAGCAGACAAGCGTGTTCGCTGCTATTGCTACAGTGAAAAAGAATTTATCAGAAGTCACCATTTCTCAGTGCATTATATAAAACGCTTTGCGTGTATTCACTGACATTTCGGATATTTTTGAAATGGCCCATTCTCATTCTTGAATATTTCTTGGCGGCTTCAGTTCTCAGTTTCTCTTCAGCTTGCATGCACTCTCTGTACTCCGCCTCATGCATGCATCTCAAATTTCTGAGATTTCTTGTGTTAAAGGATTTTCTAGCAGTCCCCCCTCTTGAAATATCACTGGAACACGTATTGCAAACTGCATAATGCTGATCTTTTTCTGATACTGTAAAATATTACCACACGGCCGCTGCCATCTTCTTTGTTTACGATGGAAAGTGCATGGACGCCCTCTACCGGTATCTATTCTTACACACCTACCATCGGCAAATGTATTTATTTATTTTTTGCCAAAAAAACATGGGCCGATACCAATGCTCAGCCAATTCATTGGTGCATCCCTATTACATACAGCAGTATGTTTTCAATCACATGGCAGCCCTAATGATGAAACCGTTTGGTGTCTAAATTACTGCTATTCTTGGTCGCTGTATTTACACTGAAAAAAGGGACTAGGTCGAAGTTGAAGGGAAGTTATTTTGAATCCAAATAAAAACATTTGAGACATTTTGTGAGTATTGTCAAATCAGAGACAAAGTTGGATGACGCCATAATATGTCATTGAACTGATATCCCGCCGGGCACAAATTATGAAATGTGATATTTTAGTTAACTATACTAAAAACATAAGTGAATATGTGTTATCTTGATACGGAGGTATTCTATATAGTATTATTAAATATAAACTAATAATTCGTTTTTTCATCACAGAAAAGAAGAGGAGGAACGGCAGCGACAGGAGGAAGAGGAGTTTGAAAGACGGCGGCAGGAAGAGGAGAAGCGAAGAATTGAGGAGGAAGAAAGGCTCAGGAGAGAGGAGGAGGAGCGACAACAAGCTGAGGATGAGAGGCTACGGGTGGAACAGCAGAAGTAAGAGTCTGGGATTGGGCATTGAATAGTGTGGATTATCCTCGGAATGATTCCAATGACAGCATAAATCCTGTTGCGAAAGAAGCACGTGTCCTCCTCTGCCTTTTTCCCCCTATGTGCACTGTGGCTTTCCATGCTTCTGTTGTGATGTTTCTGCTTCAAATGTGACTGTGTAGTTTCTTTATATAAACACACAGCAAAGGGAAACTATTCCATTGATTTGGATTTACGGTTTGGTCACAAGTGCTTTGTTGGTCACTAACAAATGTGGATTATCCTCTTGAATGAGCATCTCCAGGGGGGAGAAAAACGTTACTGTGACTATTTCTTTACCAGGATAGTCCAGCTGAGATTTCATGTGCATCTAATGACTGCACACCTGATTTATCTTTCATTTATTTGTTTCATTTTTAAATTTTTTATTACAGGGACAGTGCATATTTATTTCTGTAAATATGTCAGAATTAGCCCAGCGGCTATTTTTCATCTGTAGACATAGCTACTACTAATTTTGTATATTTTGTGTGCTCCCTGTGTGCTCTTACTACTGTCCTGTATGTGCGCTGCAACATCAAAATTTCCCCACTGTGGGACGAATAAAGGAACTCTAATCTTATCTTAGTCCCAGTTCCAGCCATGTCTTTAATTAACTTCTGCATTTAACTTAATTAATTAATTACAAATATTTGGACATTTTATCAATTAACTTTCCCTTATACTTTTAATGTTTCTATGTTGTCAACCAACTTTTCTTTTTTCTCCCTCAGACAACAGATAATGGCGGCCCTAAACGCGCAGACGGCAGTGCAGTTTCAACAGTATGCTGCTCAGCAGTATCCCAACAGTCCAGAGCAGCAGATGAGCCTCATCAGGCAGCTCCAGGAGCAACACTATCAGCAGTACATGCAGCAGTTATACCAGGTCCAGCTGGCCCAGCAACAAGTAAATCACTTCTATTTGTATTGAATGGTATATATTTTAGAAAGGCATTAGTTGGTGGTTTTACTCTAAACATAATAAATATAATAATAATAAATCAGTTATTGACAAAAACATTCGCACAACAAATATCTGAAATAATCTGACCAATTCACCATCTGCTCCCATTATAGGCAGCTTTACAGAAGCAGCAGCAGCTACAGCATCCTGATTCAGTGCAGGCTCCTCTAGAAGCAAACAGCTTTAACAATGGTGATCATGTGGCAGCCTCGTCACCTTGTACTGTGGAAGAGGTCCCCACGCTCAACGGAGGCCAGTCGGACTCTTATTCAGAAAGCATGGACCGGGAACCTGAGCCTGAACCGGCAGAAGAGGTTTCAGAAAACGGACCAATAATAGGTAAGAGAAACCATGTTACTGTTCTTTGTTTTGTATTAGTGAACCTGGCTCAAACTTGATTTGTTGATTAGACTTCACATGCAGTAGTGAAGAAAGTTTGTTTTATAACTATGGGATAAGATTTTTTTTGTGTGATTTCTGGTTGTTTTTTACTAAACATGTGGAGCCTCATGGCAGATATGGCTGCTGTTTATTAATAATGCACTTTTAAATCTCTAGAAACCCAGCAAACAGGAATTCATTATTTATTCTCCAAAATGTGTTTTCTAGCAGCGGACTCTCCACCCATCATAGCAGCTCCATCCATGTGGACAAGGCCGCAAATCAAAGATTTTAAAGAGAAGATCCGACAGGATGCAGACAGTGTGATCACCGTGGGTCGTGGAGAAGTAGTGACAGTGCGTGTTCCCACTCATGAAGAAGGATCTTACCTGTTCTGGGAGTTTGCTACAGACTATTATGACATTGGCTTTGGAGTATTCTTTGAGTGGACAGATGCTGCCTCTGCCTCCGTCAGTGTGCATGTGTCAGAGTCCAGTGATGAAGATGAAGAAGAAGAAGGTGAATATATTTTTTGTGTAGGAGAAAACGGGGTGATTTGTTTTCTGACTAAATAAAATGGAATCACAAAACAAAGGAACCACAGTTCTGATGTTAATGAATCTTGTCCACAGGTGGCGAGCCTTCAAATGAAGAGGAAAAGACAAAGAAGGATACGGGAAAGCCCCAAGTGGATGAGATAGTGCCAGTGTATCGGCGAGACTGTCATGAGGAAGTGTACGCGGGGAGTCATCAATACCCAGGTCGTGGAGTCTACCTGCTCAAGTTTGACAACTCGTATTCCCTTTGGCGCTCCAAGAGCGTGTACTACAGAGTCTACTACACCAGATAAGCCTGAATCCTGTATGTTGGGTCAAGTGCAAGCTTCAATGAGGTGGAAAAAGTGGCCCCCGGAGCTGTTCTAGAAATGCCCACCAGAGAGCAACAGTGAGACACAAACTTGGACCCTTGCAGATTTTAACGGAGAATTTAAGCACTGTGTGTATGTTCAACCCACAATACACCTGACGTCAAGCCTTTGGAGAGAATGTTTGCATTTTTTTTGTTTAACCCATATCCTCACATTAGATCAAAATCTCTCTGTTCACTCTGGGCGTCTTCTCTGTAACCATGCCGCCCAACACACTGTAGCCTTAAAAAGGGTTCTTCTGCCTAGACTTTATAAATCTATAGACAGTTCCCATATCCTCTAAGGACTAATATCAAATATATTAAGACTGTATTACTCAATACACGGCCTTGTATGCTTTCACCGTATAGATTTATTTGACAGGCAAATACTATGCTGTCATTATACAACCGATTATTTCTCTACCAAAATGCCTGAAGACCAAGACCGGCTTGGTGTATTCATACACACGATACAACGATATTATCCTATTATTAAAAGCAGTGGGGCAAACTGCTTTTTCCGGTTTTTACGGGAGCATTAAATGAAGGTGTGTGCCCTGTGTAGCTGTGGCACTCATTCATATGATCAAGGTTAAGGGGGTTGAGAATCATTTGTTTTCAGTTTCATTTTTTTTCAATATGTGTTAAGCTAACAAGAAAAGCTCTTGATCAGTTGACGATTCTGGATAAAACACACAAATGAAAATTGAAAATGACTGGTCATAAGGCACTGTTACATCTCCAAAATCCACATTGTTGCTGTTCTTTTTCATGTTCATATGATTTGTTGCATTCATTGTGGTGTGAATAAAATGTGTGTCTCGGGTTATATGGTTGATTACTAACTTTAATCTCCTGTTATTATTTAAATCTATAAGTTTTCAGCTACAATGGGTAGAACTGTCAAATCTACAGCTTTTGAAACTAAAGTTGGCTCCTGTGTAAAAGCTGATTATTTTCAGTGTCTTCTATTGGAATTGTTTGGTTTGAGTTAAGTTAAGTGTTGTTTGTAAATAAGAATATGGAATGAATTTATAAGATTTTAGATTTGGAACAGGGCGTTGCGAGTAAATGCACTGTGTAAAGATGAATGAGATTTATGTATTGGGTGAACTTTCCCAGTGAAAGCTCCGCCTAAGAAGTAACTGTTATTTTTCAGACCTTGCAGGCGGTGAAGCTCATCCTGTATTGATTTGAACTGTTTGATTTGTTTGGCCATCTTTACATCATGATTAAATGTATGTTCATCTCACTCATGTAACTTCTTGGACTTCTTATTGGAACAAGACTGGTGGCTAGTCACAGGTTTTAGATGGAAACAAAGGGGTCACTGGACAATTTAATCATAAGACTCACAGCTGGTTTTGTTCCTCTTTCCTATAGTGTTGAATGAGTCATGTCAAGACCAAGAATGTGATTCTTCCCCACTGCTGCTATTAGCGAGTTATTTGTTCTGGGTAAATTGTTCCTAAGCAACATGGGAATGGGATAATGCATAAATAATGGAATTTGCTAATAATTTGAATAAAATGTTGCATGGTGGCCGAGTAGTTAGCACTCTCGCTGCTCAGCAAGAAGATCCTGGCTCCTAATAACACTAGCCTACCACTAAATGTATGTACAATAGGATTCCCCTAATTTTCTTGATTAAATAAAGGTCAATAAATACATATATTGGATACTTGACATGTTGTACCAAAGCAAACACTCTACAATATCACAACTTATGAAAATGGCAAACTTGACATTGACACACAAAGCAAAACACCTTAATACGGTTAAGTTTAAGGTGGCTATTGTGTAGCTATTGGTCGTCTGATAACAAGCCTGATTTCATTCATATACTCTATTCCTTAAACTGTGTTATTATGTCCACTTGGGCGGCCCGGTGGCTGAGTGGACAGCACTCTCGCCTCTCAGCAAGAAGGGTTCGAATCCCGGTCGGAACAGGGCCTTTCTGAGTGGAGTTTGCATGTTCTCCCCATCTCTGTGTAGGTTTCCTCCGGATACTCCGGTTTCCCCTACCACTAATAACATGCACAATAGGTCTGGCATGCGCCTCCTGTTCGGCGACCCCGCTCCCATCTTTGTGTGGAGTGAGAGGACAAATGCCCAAAAATAACAATTGTAAACCGCTTTGTGACTCTGGTCTGTGAAAGACGGAATATAAATAAAGATTACTTACTTACTTACATAGATTACACTTATAATGCTTCAACGGAAAATAAACAGCTTGAGAAGATAGTATTCCGTGGCCAGTACAAAACATGAGTCCTGATCCTTAGAATCCGTTCCTGGTCTTCTCCGCTGCTGAGAGGCAGGTAAACTTTTGGTGTTTTGGCTCCGGCTCCAGTCCTACAGGTGGTTGGAGTGCTCGCCGGGTCTTCCCTCTGACAGCACTACTTTCCCCCCAGTCTTGAGCTCTCCTCTCCGGGCTGTCCCTCTGTCCTCTGCCTGCTTGGATTTGAATATTCTCTGGAGAGGCTCCGTACGTCTCCAGCGGACAGCGACGCACGCAGAGCCCCCAAAATATGGCGGGCTGGACGGCTTCTGACATTCACCAAGATACTAACGCGTTCACGGGACGACAGAGCTTTTCGATATGAAACAGTGACACTCTCGCAGTAGTTTTGGCTTTGCTCGCAGAATAAAAAAATATGCCTTTTCACCAGAGGAGCATTGAACCGCGGCGTGTTGCGAGATTATCCAGTAGCAGGGATGGCTGTGGGAAAGTGGGGGACCAAAGCGGAGGACGCAAGCCGAAGAAGCCGGTGTTGTTCTCGGCTCTGGACGAGGTTAGTTGTCACGTCTTGATCAATTTGATCCATCAACTTTCGGATCTGTCACGCCATGCCAGCGACGTGTTCCTGGGCATCGAGATGGAGGCGGGGATGGTGTTCCGGAGGTCCTGTCGGATCCAGGCTCGGCTGCAGGGGTTACAAGGAGCAGCGCGACACCTCGACCACAAGAAAGTCAAAATACGTAAGTTCACTGCAGGGTTTAAAGATCCACTGCGTAACTTTTATGGTGGAGGCTCTCTGCTACTTGCCAAATAATGTCTATCTAAATGTTGTTATTATATAGTTTCACATACCACTGACAGGTTGGTTTAGTGGTAATGAAGAATGGGTAAAATGCATAGGACAAAACATGACAGATACCTAAATAACAGTCAGACTGTACAACAAGTCACTTTAAGTCACTGTATTAAGACTGAAAAACCTGCACTACTCTTGACACTCTTTCTGATTGCCACTCTATAATTGCCACTTTTTATTGTACATAATATATCCTGCATTTAACATGTTTTCACATTTCCTTTCTTTTTGCACAATCTTGAGTGTTCTATCCATGCCAAATGTGACATGTTAATTTCTCCTTTGTGAGATCAATAAAGCAAATCTTATCTTATCTTATAAAGTGTATTCCCAAGCAGGTGACGTCAGATACACGCTCTTACTAGTCATATCTGAGGAAAACGTGCCCCCATCAATTTGTGACCAAAACAAACACTAATTGTTTTTTGTATCGGTTCAATAACATGGATATAATTCCAAGCAATTCCCATGGTAATAATAAGCAGGTGGTAGAGCCATAGAACTATATTAAAGCTATACACCATCAACATCCATCCATTCATGTTGTTGCATAGTCTTGGCAAACATTTGGGTCCACCAACCCGGCACTGTAGTACATAATGGTCTAATTGTGAAAGACTGTTTGACTGTTTGAATTTTCTCAGATTTGTCACAACTTTTTCTTTTGATTTTGCAAGTTGAAATCCAAGGTGATGTTGTGTTGACATGGAGGTGGAGTAGTCAGCCCCTTCAACACATGTCTGCGCCATCGGCTTTATGTTAATATCAACTGCAAATCCTGTCAGAAATGATGGATCCCCTCTCATCGCCCTGACCATCTGTAAAGAGTTTTAAAAGCTCTTGCAGATCAGACCAAGCTGTTACAAACACCATTTATCCTTCATAGTTTTTTGTTTTTTACAATCACCAGCCTGTGCTCTAAACACATTTTTATTTTGTTTGACTTTTCCACCAGTGTTACACATTGCACAAGTGCAGTAGTGTTGGCGACCCGCTAGTTCGAAGGCCTGGTACTGACTACTGTTAAGTATGTATTGCAGGTTTTACTTGATTTTTCACAAAACCTAGTTAATATTTTGTAATTTGTTCATTATTTATTTAACAAAAGTCATCAATTTCTGAACATATGTTTTAGATATATAATCGTTCTTCCTGGTTGTGAATGATGATATTATGCTTGGGATGTTTCCAAGCAACCATGTAATGAATTTGGGAAAGACTCCAATCTACATAGAAAGGATTTATTTGACAAAAACAATTATAACCATTTTTAGTTCTAGTTAATTCAACAAAAAGCTATCTTTTTTTGTTAACTATGCCAAACCTTATGAGCTCTGTCTATCCCTACTGTGATGTCATCAGTTATAGAACACTGCTCTGTTTACATGTCAACATATTTTCCCAATGTTCTTTACAATGAGTGACTTTATTGGTGTAAAACTATTGTTTATATTACACCCAAATAGGTCAAAGTCATACAATAATGAACACCTGTCATAAGCACTTAAAGTTAATTTACTGATAGACATGCTACAATCAAACTCTTTTGTGTATGCTATATCCTTTTTACTTCACATCATTAAATTTACCTGTTCTTCAATGATGACTTTTAAACATTGACCTGAAACAACTGTTTTTGTCTGTGTGAGAAGTTGTCAACTCTGCATTTGAAAATAATGCAAGGTCATCTGTTTCTAAGCATATTTCCGGTTCTGACTCCTTTGTCTCATTAGGGCTTATTAGAGTGTCAGTCGTCAGTAAGCAGAAGAGCTCTTGCATTTGACTTCCTAGTCTTTTTGTTAATTTGTTTGTTGTCAAGCATATTCCTATATGTTTCACATGACAAGCCCACATCTCACAACACACAGTCTGAACACTGGATGACTCCAGTTGTGACTCATTATGAGTTTGCTTTTGTTGTTGAGGCTTCAGTTGGTTCTGACTCACTCAAAATCAGCTATCCGACATCTAAAAATACTTTCCATCAACTCATAATGAACACCACATTCCACAAGCTGGTCCATCAGAAAGACCCAATGCACCCCGACTTTACCTGTTAATTTTGAGGAGGAGTTTCTTGTGAATGTACAGTGACCGGGCTTGTCATGCAGTGATTTCAGGCATGTTGAAGTAGACAAGGTGTGAGCACGTCGCGCTGGAATGCGTTGTGTTATGAGATTTGCAGTTGGCAGCTCCCACGGCGCCTCAAGGCCGGTATTAGGTGCACAGGAGCACACAACAAAGTAATTTAACGCACAATGTAAACTACAATCTGTGATACTTCCGACATGACCACCTGGTATTTTAAGACAGACAATTTTGAAATCCACTGAAAGACAAAATTGTGGTATCTGTTCCTTGTGGGGGTACCTTGCTGAAGTTCAATTACACATTTCTCTACTTTTTGTATTCATTCTCATTCAAAACAATACAGGGTACATGTAAAAAAAAAATCACCAGATTTCTTCCTTTGTGTGTTATTTGGTCTCCGTCACATATTTAAGGTCAGCTTTTTCTGATAGAAATGTGAAAAAGGAGTGGTCCACCCTCACTCCTAGGTCTTCAGCATGAAGACCTATTGAAGATCTGGTGTAGGTACAATGCTACTCAGAAGACCAAATATTTAGATATAGTGGTACTCAGTCTGGATGCACTTCTGAGATGGCTTTTTGTGTGTTCAAAGTTTGAGAATCACTGATTTAAAACGTCTACCATAGTCCGCTAATGAAAAAATATGTTTATGAAATAGGAAATTAGAGCCAAACACGGTTTGAACCAGAAACATGACTTATAGTGGACTTTAATCTCGTTTCTACTTTGTGTGTATTTGCAGCAAGCTTGTTTCTAAACTCTTATATTCATACATTTTCTTTACAGATAAATACTTTTATACCAGCAGAGCTTGCAGATTCCTGAAAGACCTATTCCTCATGGTCACCCTGGTATGTCCCCAGCTTTTGTGGGTCTGAATTCCTTCTCTGACCTCAGTTCGAAGTTGGATCAAGTTACCAGTTTAGGGCAACAGGGGCCCCCTTCTGTTCGACCAGTACAGGGGGCAATGTATGTAGTGAACGTACGGCTTCAACACTCGGGGCAAAGACAAGTTTAGAAAAACATATGAATATTTGGGTGAATCAATGCATTATAATTATTTGAGGCATAAAAATACATTGCATATGTTCCATTTTCCTTCCAAGACATTGGTGAAGCAGTGCGTGTGGCTGGGTCAGAGGTCTGAGTGCCTGAAGGACACCTGACACTCAGGAGTCAAGGGTTTAAGTAAATTCTAATTTGTGCGGTTCAGATTTGTGCTGCTTTGAATAATATTGACTGAAAACGTTTAATTTCCCACATACACAAGTAAAAGACGCACTAATGAACATGAGTCAAATTCAAGACTCAACTAATGGAACAGTTATTTCATAATTATTCACAAGCATAAACATTCATATATTCAATATATAAATATCCAGTGTCTCCTGGGTCTTCCCTGGGGTCTCCTCCCGGTGGGACGTGCCCAGGAAGAACCAGGAGACGCCGGAGGGACTATGTCGCTCATCTGGCCTGGGAACACCTTGGGATCCCGCTGGACGAGCTGGAGGAAGTGTGTGTGGATAGGGAAGTCTGGGCGTCTCTGCTTAGACTGCTGCCCCCGTGAGCCAGCAACGGATGAAGCGGAAGAAAATGGATGGATGGATGGATATTCAAGATAAAAACAATGATACACATAATGCATTGGTTTTGTATAATGCTTTTTTGGACACTCAAAGATGCTTCACATGGCATAATTCATTCACTCCATACATGGTAGTGATAAGATAATATAGCCACAGCTGCCCTGGGGCAGACTGACAAAAGCAAGGCAACCAGTATGTGCAATCGGCCCCTCTGATCACCACCAACCATTCACGCACACACCAGACTCATACTATCCAATGTGGGTGAAGTGTCTTGGCTAGGTACACAGCAACAGTTTGGTACTTCCAGCTGCAGCCTCACTGTGTTCCCGGAGGTCTCCCATCACAGTACTAACCAGACCCTGCTCTGCTTAGTTTCAAACAGGATCTGGCATAATATGCATACTGTGACTTTCCGTCCTGTTTAGTTTGAAAATAACATTTTTTGACTCTGGTTGAAATGTGTGTCGGAACAATAGGGAGAAAGGTGGCTTGTTGTTTAGACCTGTGTTGACTTTTTATCACAATAAAGACAAAAGGATCAAAGCAAACTTCGGACTTTCAAAATTAATAACCCTTCTAAAGTCACAGCGCGGTTTCTCCAGGACCCCAGGATTCACATTATAATGAACTACAGCAATCTAATCATCAACGTCGAGCAATAACATTTTCAATAACGTTTTACAAGGACGACTAAAGGAAAGAGCGCTCTTGTTACACGGCTCGTTACGCTGTCATTAGTATTGTCCCTCGTGTGACTTGTGTATAGTTTTATAACCTTCTTCACCTGCCCCACGTGTAAGCAACGGGCTATAAAACAGTTTTATTGCTGTCTAAACTACCAAAGAGACTAGCTTGCAAGGCGGGTTAAATGGCAAGTCATTTGGACCCACCAACCTGTGTTGTTCTAGCGTGTGTGTGTGTGTGTGTGTGTGTGTGTGTATATTTACAGCATATGGGGTATATATGAATAGCGCTTAATAAATACCATCTGATTTGATTAATTGATTTTATTATGTTTTAGAATTTTTTGAAGATTTTTTTTAATGCATGCCTTTTTTTACTCTTTTATAACTTGTTTGCACCATTAACCAAAGCAAATTTCTCGTTTGTGATCCCTTTCTGTTACTTACAATGCAAATAAAAGGAATTCTGTTTCTGATTCAGTGTTTGCACTGTGGGAATCAGCGCTATAGTATATATTGGGAATGTAGATCTAAAAACATAAAGTTAAAACTTGCAGTGACTGTAAGGAGCTGGAGAGGTTTGTACTGTAGTTCT